CATCTCCACAGAGGAGCTCTCCCTTTTACACCCTCCCCCTCCCCAGGCCTACCCTGCCCTGGGCAACCATTCCTGCCTGTGAAGCTTTGCCTGCTTCCTGTAAGTGGAGCCACACGGTCCCCACCTTTGGTTTGTGCCTGTTGGCCCTCTGTGGCTGGCCTAGCCTGCCTGAGTTCTGAGATCCAGCACACAACAGGAACATCCTGGTTCTCTCCTCCTTGAGGCCCCTGGTCACCGAGACACCTGCATGTAGTACTGTCCTGCAGCCTGCAAGGGTGGAACCCTGGTATGTCGTTGTGTGTTCGCTGTTCCCTCTCCCTCAGGGTGTGGGCCACTTAGATTCTGACGGCCACAGGTCCATTCCGCCTGCATGACCCACGTAGGTGCAGCATGCCCTGCGAGGACTGAGCTGTCCCCTTCTCGGCCCCGTGTGGGTCTTAGTGAGGGCTGGTCTGGCATGCCCAGTGGCCTTTACCCTGGGGTCTGGTCACCTACCATCCTTGCCAGTAGCTCTTCTGTCCTGGGTCAGTCCAGTGATTGGAACAGTAGCTCCGGTTGTTTCCCCTGGTGCAGGACTCTCGGGGGAGTTGTTTGTGGGGGGAGTGGGTAGTTGGCAGATTTAAAGTAAGCTGAAACCACTCTCCATTCAAAATCGGATATATTGGCCTCGAAATGCTGGTGTGCATTTCACTGAAGTCGCACTGGGAAAACTGGGCTAGTAGCAGTCATGTTTGGCAGTATATCTCCCTGCTCATCTTTGAAGAGGATCCAGAACCTTCACTATCTCTCGATAGGGCCCAACCAGCCAGGAATTGCACAGAGGCTTGGAGGCTTCCAGGGAATGCTTTATTCAGTGAACAGGGTGCGGGCAGGTCCAGTGTGTCTTCCGGGGGAACCTCCATCAGTGAGTTTGGCCTGACTGAGAACCTTGTTCCTTCTTTACTTTTCATAACTGCTGATGGCTGGTTCTCTCTCACCAGTCTGAAAACTGAAGGCAGGTTGGTTCTTCATACTGAAGCCCACTTGTGTCTTGGCTCAGAAGTGAGCAGACCCTGTGCTGAGCTGTCTTCCCTAAGAGACACCTTAAGATGCTGTTCATCTTGAGAGACGGAGATGACACAATTCCCAGGCTGTGTTCACAAGTACACACGAACACACTTGCCCTGTGGTTGAGGGAAGATGGGAATCTGGTATGTGCATAGACCCAAGGCCATCACTGTCCCTGGAGAGCTGTGCTTTGTAGCCCACAAGGTCTGCCTACAGATCCCTGACCTGGAGTGAGTGGAGGGCAGCCTCCAGCCTGAACTTTCCTCCCAGAAGAAACAAATCTAGCCAGGTTTGCCAGGACCTCTGCACCCACTTTTGGGATAGCTGCTGTTCACGATTGTTCTGAAAAAGAGTGTGGGGAGGCTTGTGTGTAAAGTAGCCACCCTGTGCCCCAGAGCATTTCGTCCTGCTGAAGAGAGGTCATGGGAACTTCTCCAGCCCCGCTTGAGTGATACACCTTGGTGCTGGGAATACTCAAGTTCTGAGTGGCCCCAGGCTTGAAGCCAGTGGAAGAGAATGGGCAGTGCTACCTGTTCTCCCACCGCAGGCCAAAGACGGACGAGAAATCGGCTTCCTGAGTCCCTTTTCTGTGGGAGGTCAGCATTGGGATGCTGATTAAACGTGCGTTTTAGAGCTGGGCCTGCAACTTTCTTTGAGCCAGGGAGCCTGCTCAGTCTGGTGGAAACGCACTGTCTCCAGTCTTCACCAGACCTGCTAGAAAGACCTTCCCAGGTCCATGTGGGGACTCAGTCACCAGTGGATGAGCTGTCCCATGAAGGGCAGTCACCTGACAGCTCGGCACCTGCCCAGACCGTGGAGCCCTCTAGGAAAAGCTGCCGAGTGCAGTGTTCCCCTCCAGCAGCCCAGCCATCAGCCTGTAACGTGACTGTGGGACGGAGATGTGTGAGCAGTCCACAGCTGGCTGGGAGGCACACAGGGGTCGAGAACATTGCAGCTCGGGTTGGGGGAAGATCCCAGGGGCTTTGAAAGGGATGTAGGATGGACTGGGTCCAGCTCAAACCACCGAGTTCCATCAAGATGGGGACACAGTGACATGATGAAGTGATGTAGACAAATTGTCCCTCTATTTTGTTAAACCCCTTCCAGTTCCTTTGAATGGATGATGTCTTCCTGTTAGAGTGGCCTTGTCTTTAGGGTACTCTGAAACATTCCTTGTCCTGCTCATGTGAGCTGTACCAGTTGGATCCTCTCTGTGCTTCAAACATGAGTGACGTGATTGAGGTTGGAGAATGGACAGTGAGAGTCTGTTCTGGGCACAGTGTATATGGGAGTAAAGCATCCAGGGATGTCGTGCCCTTTAGGCACGTTAGTTCACTGTGGTCTCCTGTGTGCTCATCCATTGCCCACAGTGAGGGGTGCAAATGGCTATTTGAAAAACCTGTGTTTTAATTTTATTTCCTTAAAAACTCATTCGACACCAATGAGACAAAAATGTTAAATCTGGGTGGTTATTTCTACACTCCAGAGTTCTGCGTATAAGTTGTTTTACAATATTTCTCTTCTGCAGTCTGAGTGGAAGTATAGACTGTCCTTAGGACAGTGACAGTGGGCAGGTCTCCAGGCAGGACACCAACCCAGTGACACCTGTGTGGTCCCCAGCTCTAAGAAGATGCACCCCTCAGCTAGCTGCAGACTCTTCTGCTAGTGGAGCCTGTGGCTTCCTGGCCTAAGACTCTGGTGGTCCCTTGCTGATCCTCTGAAGTGCTGACTGGCCTTTGTGGGCTCAGGTACTGCACCCACAGCCTGCTTCCTCCTGTTCCAGGGTCTGCAGTGATGGGACAGTGTCTTTTTGCCAACTCGTTAGTCCCCTCCATCTGCCGCTGTGAGGCACATGCCGGAGCCTGGATCCTTTGCCTGATTCATGGAAGTGCTGCTTGCCTAACAGTCCTCTCAGATTTATCGATCTGTTCTTTTGAGTACTTTATTAATTAGTCATGTGAACAAGGTCCTGTGGCTGGTCTAGACTCCTGTTGTTGCTAATATGTGCCTGTTTGTTCTGCTTGGGCCGAGCTCTAATAGCCTTCTTGCCCCCTGCAGGTCTTCTTGCTGATCTAAAACTCTTGCTGTGATCCGGGCCTCTAGTGCTCCCCCTGATTTGGCATCTGTCAGGGACAAGAGCTTGTGGGTTTTATTTTGAAAACCCAGGCAGTCAAATGGTTCGTAGGAGCAGCTCCAGCTCCTGGCCTTGGTAAGGAAGAATGGGCATTAATATTTAACTGCCTGTGTTAGCACACTGAGAACAGATCCTGGCCTTCAGTGTCTGGGCCCTCAGCCCACGCTGCCCTGTGGTTAACCCTTCTCTGGAGAGCTCCCCACAGCTCAGCTTAGAGCCATCCCCAGCCCCTAAGCACAATGCATCTGTCACAGCTGCACTGCCAGGCATGGGCATGAGACCTTTTCAGGAAGTGTGTGATCCAAGATGTGAGAAGGGCCTCAAGGAGAGGCCTGAAGGACCTGCATTTGTGTGGTCACAGGGATTTTCTCCAGGGCTCCTGTTTTACAGACTTGGAGGTGTTTTCACTCCAAACCTTCTCTCCTCCTGCAGGGTAGAGAGGAAAGCATTAGCTCCCCTCTAAGTGGGTGCCCCTGAGGCTGTGGTGTGACTTCAGAGTCTCAGTGGGGGCTCATGACTATTCCTGAAACTCAACCACTGCCTTTGAAGCTTAGTGCAGTGGTTTCTGGGAGTGTCACCAGACACTGAAAGGTATTTGTGCCTTCTTCTCTTCCCGTGTGTTTACAACACTCAGTGAAGAGGCCTGACCCTGACGTGGTGAGAAGCACTGGGCAGCTGTCTTCTCCATGAGCTGGTGGAGCCCTCCAGGCTTTCCTGCAGAGGAATGATGTATGGCTCTCAACAAGGCCTTGGTCCCCATCCCCTCCACCATAGAGAGGCAGCACATGAAATCTCTCACTGCTGGGGCTTTGTTCTGACCAAGGTAGTACTGCCGGGCAGCCACTGTGCCTTAGCTGGTTTAGGGCAGTGGGTATGGTTAAGTTGGAAGCTCCCTTTGTGGAGCCAAATCCTGAGATCCTGATGAGGGGGGGAATGCTCATTCAGCTCATTGTGGCCTGAGGCCAGTCACTGCTCTGGGGGTGGCCCTGTCGCATTCGACCTGGGGCTGGGAAGCGGTTCCTGTGGCAGTAGTATGCATTCTGCCTGGCTCCTGGGGGTGTGGCCACAGTTTGAGCTGTCTATTCAGACTTCTGCAGAAACAAAGCTGGGCCCTACTGAGGAAAAGTGCAGGTGGGGACATGCACAGAGACAAAACGGAGCACCGTTGCAGAATGTCTGCATGTAGGCATCTTGCAGCAGAGTATACTGGGAACACATGGGAAGGGCTTCGTGGCTTCAGCAAGCACGTCGCTGGACAGAGGGATTGGTCGTGTAAAAGGATAGAGAGCAAGTCAGGAAGGATGGATGTGTAACTGGACAGACACACAGGTGCTAGTCTGCTAGACAATACCTTTACTGGCCGTGAACTGGGAGTTTCCCAGTAGCAGAGGCCATCCAGGAGGGAGGTATGTCCCAGGCCCTCCTGGTCTTTTGGGCCTGGCACCTGACCACGTATTTGAAATGCACAATCCCCCTGCCTCACCCTGCTTCTCTCCGTACCCAGTGTTAGAGTGCTTTGGGCCTCTCCCTGAGCAGCTAGCCACTCACGGTGTCAGTGTGTACCTGGAGAACTGGCTACAGAACTGAAGTCCCTCACCTGTAGGGCTAAGCCGGTCATGTTTCCAGGCTGTGGTAGGGACCCTGGGAGCCCCATGTGACCCTCCACATCATCAGAATGCGCTCCGGTGGGGGTGGGGGGGTGGGATGGGACTGTGGCCTCCGTGTCAGCAGGACATCTCTGTCTCAATGTGACGGTATTGTGGGGAGGATCTGCACTCCCGGCTCCAGGCACATGCTGATGGTGCTCTTCTCTCCACAGTGTGCTGGAGAAGAGAACTGGGTGGACAGTCGGACCATCTACGTGGGACACAAGGAGCCCCCTCCGGGTGCAGAGGCCTACATTCCACAGAGATATCCCGACAACAGAATCGTCTCCTCCAAGGTAGCCTCACTTCCTGCCCTGAGGTTCTGTCTGAGGGAGGCTGCCACAAGGGACAGCACCTTCTGAGCAGCACTGGTGCTACTGTGCAGCTGTCCCCAGGGTGGCACTGCTCTCCCAGAAGCCACAGTGCTCCTGCACTGCTGTCCCTAGGCCAGGCAGTACCACTCCACTCCTGCCAGGCTGTCAGGGTTACTTTGCTGGGCCTCACCCTCTCTACTTCTCTTTAACCGCCCCCAGTGGAGGACCAGACTTGAAGTGTAAGGCATGAGTCACATCCCAATGCTGCCCCTTACCCGTACACTGCCTGGCTGTGTCTGGCAGCCAGGCCTGCCAGCTAGGTGCGGCAGACGGAGGAAGAGTGCAGCTGGGTCTCCTCGCTCTAGTGACAGGCTTTGTTATCAGCTGGATGTGGAAATGTAGAGCACATGGAGAGATATCTGAGAGTGTTTGGGGGTGGGAGTGAGGAGTTGTGGCCTCAAACAAGAGGATGGACATGGCTTTCCAGAGGGTGAGGAACACTTCCCTCATGAACAGACATACCTGAAAACACATGCATTTGTGTGTCGTGTGTCTGTACACTGTGTGTGCATTTCGTGTGCGTGTGCATGTGTGTGTGTGTGTGTGTGTGTGTGTGTGTGTGTGTGTGTGTGTGCCAAGGTGCAGATATGTAAGTCACAACCAAATGTTCTGAGACACAGGTAGGCCTATTTAAGTTGCATAAGGCTCCCACGAAGGAGGTCTGTGTCATTGACAGCTGGTGTTCTGACATGCACAGCTCTGGAACTCACATCACATGCCGTTGTGCTGAGATCTGCTAAGTTCTCTTTAGAACTCGGAGCCCTGCATTTGTTGAGAGGATTTTATGACCCAAAAGGTTAGTTTCCCAAGGACTTTTTTATACAGTTATTTATTTTGTAACAGCAGCATTAAAATATTTATAATAGCTTTGTCCAGAAGCACAACCTAGGCCAGTAAAACCCACTCGTAAGTAAAACCCACACATGAGTGTCCCTGAGGTGACACAGGCCTGACAGTGAAGAGACAACGTAGGAGAAACCCTGTCCAGAAGCACACCTCCCCGTCCCTGTGGTCACGGACGGGACTGACGCTCATCAGCTCTCTAACAGACCCGTCACCACCACCACCCCGGGCGGGGCTGTGCAAGTGTGGGCTCATGCAGTGTGTGTCCGTCCGTGTGTGTCATCTGTGTGCAGACAGGTTCTGCCCAGGCTGTACAGGATGCCTGTGAAGAGCAGAGCAGCCTGACTGAGCTCTCTGAGAGGCTCCGGGGCTTTGCGGCTGACGGGAGCCCCACCCTCACCCCATTGCTTTTATCCGTTTGGGGCCTGTTGCCCACGGTGATGCTGAGAGGCTCTTACTTCTGTTTTTGCCCCTGGAGAACAGGAACCACCACAGCCTCCTTGACTTCTGGGAAGGAAATCCACAGGGAGGCTGTGTGGGAATTGCAGGTCCCAGGGGTGTTCCGAAGCAGTTTCTCCTAGAGAGGCTCCTTCGTCCCAGGAAGCTTTTGAGCAGGAACCAACAGAATTAAGTCAACACTCTCGGCAGGGAGTGGCCCGAGGAGGGCAGGCCAGGAATTAGCAGAAGCACTCCAGGACCTTTCACCTCAGCCTCTCGCAGGCTGTCAGCACGGGGAGTGAGCCCCTGTGGGACATCAGTGCCGTGTCTCCATGACAAGTAGCCAGTGATGTTTCAGGGGAAGATATGCACAGCCTGGCCCCTGTACCAGTCAGATTCAGGAAGGAAGGGTAGGCCCTTGGACAGGAGGCAGGGCTCTGGACCTCAACTGACAATGGACTTTATGCAAACCGAAGTGCAAATCTGTGAGGCACCATTGGGAATTTATCATTGTTTTGGCTCGAATAACAGCTCAGGTATGTGGAAAGTGCTAGTGTGTTCAACAGATATACAAAGGTTTTGTAGAATATGTCTATAGTAATGTTGTTTCTACCTTAGAAATGCCAAAGAATGCCTCAGAGCCAAGCAGTCTGATTAAACCAGGAAGCTGTGGCAGGGTTTGTCCATGAAGGATCATAGGAAGGCCTCCACATGCCTACCGTAGCAGGGGCGTTGTTACTAGTGGTAGTGATTGACCAGAGTTCCCATTTCATGGAAGAAGAAGATGAAAATGACCGCCTTCATGGCCCCTTGTGGCCTCTGGCCCCACACAAGTTCCCCATGCTGGTGTCTGGGGAGACTCTGGTCTCAGGGCAGAGTGGTCCTTGGGGCATGGAATTCACAGGGGGCCTGCTCTGCCTTCAGGAGGCTGCCGGAGTAAACACTGGCTCCCCTGGTATTGCCTGCTCCCCAGCCCACACCTCACGTTAGGAAAGCTGGACTAGTTTTGATTACTGTGAAACTGATTACCTCTGCCACTTTAGATAGTGTGTTTTATTGATGGATATTTATACAGATGACTTTTTTTTAACCATATTTACCATGTTGCTTAAACACTGAGCAACTTTCTGAGGCTACAACTTATTTATGAAGAAACTAAGGCTTAGTGGCGGGAACGTGTCAGTAGCCACAAGGTAGAGAAGTGGCCTTGAACCATACTGTTCTCTGAGCATGGAGTTCCTTCTGCAGGGCTCTTGTCCCCCATGACTCCCCCAAACATGTCATGATCACCCCCATTCCCAGCACCAGCAATCCTGCATAGCGTTGAGTCTTCCTGTCCGACAGCCCCTTTCCCAGCCACAAAGGAAAGCTCCATGCGAGCTGATTACAGACCAGTATCTGGTTTTAGTGCTTTTGTGGAGCAGTAAGGTTCAGGCCTGTGGGCTGGATCCATTTAGGTGGATGATGGCCGAAGCTCTGGGACCCTCTAATTTCCTGGCTGCTGGCAGAACAGAAGAGTGCCTAGTTCCTCCCAATGTGTCCCCTTGACTTGTGACAACATGGAGACTATGTAGGACTTCTGTGCGCCATCCTCCAGGCCAGGAACACAAAGCCAGAGATTGGCATACCCAGGGGAGCAGGAGGCTGTATGGACATGAAACTCACATGCCAGTGGGTGTACCCACTGCTCAATGAGAGGATGCAGAGGCCAGTGGGCACCCTCAGCTCAGTGTGAGAACACAGAGAGGCCAGTGGGCACCCTCAGCTCAGTGTGAGAACAGAGAGGCTAGTGGACACCCTCACCTCAGTGTGAGAACAGAGAGGCCAGTGGGCACCCTCACCTCAGTGTGAGAACAGAGAGGCCAGTGGGCACCCTCACCTCAGTGTGAGAACAGAGAGGCCAGCAGGCTCCCTCTGCTCAGTGTGAACATGGAGAAGCCAGTGGGCACCCTCTGCTCAGGATGAGGACAGACAGACCAGCAGACTCTGGCCCAAAGTCTCCATGAGTGTGAAGAAGCAGGGCTTATTAACTGTCTCTTGGGGGTCAACACGCCTCAAGACATCTCCATGGAAGAAAGAGACGCTGTGACCTCCTCCCTTTCCCAGCCCCTTACAGGTGGAGCGGCCATCTTATTCCTCCTCTTAGTCGTTGATAACAGACTGTTCAAGCTGGGATCCTTTCCACTGCTGCTGTGATAGTAGACGTGGAACTCGATACCTGAGTGTGGATGACAGCGAGACATTGTGTGCTGGCCACGAGTTCCACAAATACGGGACATTTACAGATCCTGAGTGTGGATGACAGTGAGACATTGTGTGCTGGCCACGGGTCCCACAAATACGGGACCTTTACAGATCCTGAGTGTGGATGACAGTGAGACATTGTGTGCTGGCCACGGGTCCCACAAATACGGGGACCTTTACAGATCCTGAGTGTGGATGACAGTGAGACATTGTGTGCTGGCCACGGGTTCCCACAAATACGGGACCTTTACAGATCCTGAGTGTGGATGACAGTGAGACATTGTATGCTGGCCACGGGTTCCCACAAATACGGGACCTTTACAGATCCTGAGTGTGGATGACAGTGAGACATTTGTGTGCTGGCCACGGGTTCCCACAAATACGGGACCTTTACAGATCCTGAGTGTGGATGACAGTGAGACATTTGTGTGCTGGCCACGAGTCCCACAAATATGGGACCTTTACAGATCAGCAAGATAGAAGTTGTGTGGCTGACCTGCCACTCTCACGTGGCCAGTACCAGCTCTTACAATAAAGTGCTCCAGTTATGTGTGTGTGAGAACATGTCGGAGAGGGCAAGTGTGCACATACATGGATATGCATGTGAAAGCCATAGGTCAAAGTTGGGTGTCCTCCTTAATGCCTTAATTGCAGATGTAATTCTAAACAGTCTTACTAAGTAAGAAACACAGAGCCAAATAAAGAGTTAAAAGCCCAGAGATCGAGCAGTAGCCAAGAGCTAAGACCACCTTATCTTACCACTAGCTGCTGTCCTTCCCCTGAGAGAGACCTTCTTCCTGTGTCCTGTCTTTTTATTGCCTTTCTGTTCTGTCTTCTCATTGGCTGTAAACCCAACCACATGACTTCCTCGTCACTGCCTGTCTATACAGACCTCCAGTTCTCTATGGTTGGTACTGGGATTAAAGGCGTGTGTCACCATGCTGGCTATGTCCTTGAACACACAGAGATGTTGCCTGCCATGTGATCGGATTAAGGGCGTGTGCTCCCACTGCCAGACTTCTGCTAAATGGCTTGCTCTTAGCTCTGATCCCCAGGCAACTTTGTTAACATACAAATAAAATCACATTTCAGCACAAATAAAATATCACCACCATACTTAACGACTCTCTCTTTTTTTTAGGCCATCTCTCCCTGAACCTGTAGCTTAGCTAATGGATTAGGCGGGCTGGCGAGCGAGCCCCAGGGTCTCCCTGTCTCCACCTTCTCACTGAGGTTGTGGCTGGCACTTCTGGGCCCTGCTATTTGTTGGGTGTTGGGGATCTGAACTCTGGTCCTCATGGGTGCGTGGCAAGCATTTTATTGACTGGGCCATCTCTCCAGCCCCTTGTTTTATCTGTTACAGAGGTGTCACATGTTCACAGACATTTGAATTATCTCGTTGGCTTTCTGTTACATGCGGTCAGCAGTAATAACTAATTAACATTTTGTGAACCACAGGGTTACAAAGCTGAGAGTTCTCAGCCGTGGTAGGTCTTCGTAGTGGTACGTGGTTCTCTGGTACATGGTAAAATTTCAGGGTACTAGAACAACATTCTAGGTAACACAGGTCTAGACATGCACGTGGCCCTCTTCGTGGAAACCCATTGTACACACCAGGGTCACCTCCTGTGTCCCACTGTAGTGGAGTTGAGAGGTCCCGTTCACCTTCTCCAGGAAGAGCCCACAGAGCCGGTTCAACCACACAGCGGCTCAGTCATGAAGACTGTTTGATTTAACAGCTACAGCAAAACCTCCAACTATGACCTTAAAACCACCTGTGCCGGGCGGTGGTGGCGCACGCCTTTAATGCCAGCACTCGGGAGGCAGAGGCAGGTGGATCTCTGTGAGTTCGAGGCCAGCCTGGTCTACAGAGCGAGATCCAGGAAAGGCGCAAAGCTACACAGAGAAACCCTGTCTCGAAAAACCAAAAAAAAAAAAAAAAAAAAAAAAAAAACACCTCTGCTTGTGACTGCTCCAGCTCAGGAGTTTCCTTCCGTGACAGCCTGAATCATGAATCCCAGGACCTGCTTTGTTCACTAGACACACCAGAGGTCCATGGTCTGTTCCAGATTTTGATCCTTTTCTTCACTCCCAAATAAATCTTTCTTCATTGACGGATAGGAGAGTATCATTATCAGTGTGTGTGGGAAGTTTGAAAGAGTCTACCAGAATTTCCAAATATAAAGTATTTACTCATTATGATACTGGGAATTAAATTCAAGGCCTTGCACATGCTAGGCAAATGCTATGCATCTGGACCATGTCCTCAGCCCCACCCCCGTTTTTTAAATTTTATAAAAATAGAAACATATTAAAGCTCTTCTCCATCATACAGAGAGTGGTTTGGTCACCCCATATTGACAGCAGGAAGACTGTGTTGTTAAGATGTTGATCCTCTTGACAGGATCTGCAGAGTCCCCACCAGTGGCTTTGAGGGTCTCCTCATACTTCTAAATTTATGTGAGAAGGCAAGTGGCCTTGGATAGCAACACAGCGTAGAGGACATGTAGAGGGTAGCCACTGTTCTCAGTACAGGCAGTGAGTGGTCAGTTTGGAGAACATGTAGTGTGGGGACCGCCCTCTTTCCTCACCTTGTCAATACAGCAGAGGGTCCTTGCATGTGGCTGCAGACAGATGCAGCACCCTGCAGTGTGGACACCATGCCCTGCCATCAGGGAAGCGTCCAGGCAGCTCAGACTCTGTCCCTTCTGCGGCGTCTCTCAGTTGTACTGGGCAACAGAGGAGAGATGAGAAGACACAGGAAGTAGCCCCGCTGAACAAGAGTCGGCCAAGTCTCCACTGGGCCCCTGACAGATGGCACGCCCTGTGTGTGCACAACTGCTTTCTTTCTGCCCTGACTCGATGGGCCAGGCCCTTTGGGTGCGGTTCCTTCGGAGGGTACGCTGTCTTAGCAGCTTGTCTTGGGGCCTTGTATGACATGGACAAAATGTCTAACCCTAAACTCTAAAACTAAACATTTATGTATCTAAAACTAAACATTTTATGCTCTGCACTGCCCCCTGCTCGTTCGTAGTAGAGCACCACATGAAGTGACCTGCCTGTGCTTTTGTTGTATACAGTACACGTTCTGGAACTTCATACCCAAGAACCTGTTTGAACAGTTCAGAAGAATAGCCAACTTTTATTTTCTCATCATCTTCCTGGTGCAGGTAAGGATGGTCCTGGCTCTCTGTCTCAGCAAATGTCATTTGAGTCTCAAGTAAGTGACAGACAGTCACTAAAGTCAGCAAGGATGTGACGCTTCTCATCTGCCATTCACTCTTGGGCTCTCTAATTCCAGCCCCAAGAAGAGACAGGGCAAGCTCCAGCCACGCCTGGCGTCTCCATTTACTCCTTGAAACTCAGAACCTCTAAGCAGATGTACATCCAGGGAGACAGGCGAGGCGGGAACAGAGCAAGGGTGTGGGCGGGGGCAGCTGGTAGATTGCACTTTGTGAGCAGCAGTGTTACATTTTTCTCAATTATTCTAAGTATAGCTATAAATGACATGAAAATCTCCCCAGCGTGAACTCCGTCAGAATAACTCAAGTGTGACACCTGCGGAATGGACTAAATGAATCAATGTCTCTAGAGGCAGACTTGTGCCCTCGCCACATGCTGACTGCTTTCCTTAAGCACACCCCTTAACCCAGGAACCTCCTTCAGCACTGTAGTCACTGGGACGGGTTGGTGTCCCTCTTGTCCAGGCTGCAGGGCAAGGAGGAGCCAGCAACGTGCTTTAGTAGGTGGAAGCGCGTGGGAAAAGGCTGTGCTGCCAGTCCAGCCCTCTGTCCGTGGCTGCCAGTCCAGCCCGCTGTCCGTGGCTGCCAGTCCAGCCCTCTGCCTGCGGCTGCTAGCAAGTGTTTTCCAGCTGACTGCATGGCTGTCTTGTCCCCACAGTTGATCATCGACACACCCACAAGTCCAGTGACGAGCGGGCTCCCACTCTTCTTCGTCATCACTGTCACAGCCATCAAGCAGGTAAGACTCTCACAGTCCACGTGCTGACGTGTGGTTTCTTGTGCTCTGAGGTTGTGTACAACATGATGTGCTGTTTTTTCATAGTTAGATTGGTGTTAGATTTTTGAGAGGGTGACTACACATGTGCAGTACCTTTTTTTTTTTTTTTTAATCAAAAGTATATGCCGTCAATTTGCTGTACCATAAGGATGTCAGTCAGACACCGTATCCACTTGTGGTACAGTCGCCTGCCGTATTTCCTTTCCGTGGAGTCCTTTTGCCCCTCCTCCTCTCACACTCTGACTTGGAAGCAAGTTATCAAGCACAGCCTAACGGTTAAGGAGTGAAGACGAGCATCCTCTCCTCCATCACCACGTGCGTCAGTTATTTCAGATTCTTAGTCAAGGGAGATTTGCCTGATGCCCATTTACTTTACCCAGTGCTTTACTGACACCAATATGGGTTTATAAACGTTTATTTTAAACTTTGGGCTATAATCCAATAATGCTTCAATGTTTAACTTGTTCCTACTGTAGCCATTACTAGTTTATTCAGTTGGATTCTGTATTCCTTTAACATGCCTTCCCACTGGGTGATTTACTTATTTATTTTGTGAGAGTGTGTATGTACGGGGATTCCCTTCTTACTTGCTGAGCTAACATTAGCTATAAGACAGCGCACTAAAGATTGAGACATAATTTACATGCCTTAAAATTGACCCCAGTGTTTCCTCAAAAGTTTATAACTTTAGTTATTACTTTAGGTCATGTTTATGTTCATTTTAAATATGATATCATGTATAAGGTGAATTGCACCTACGTTTATTCTGCATGTAGGCATTCAGTAACAGTTGATGAAAAGACCGTCTTCTCCCCATTGTGAGGGTTTACATCTGGACTGAATGTGTTCAGCTGATACACCTCCGTCACTAGGGTTTTTATACTTGCTTCATTACTGTAGGTCTGTAGTAAAACTTTGAAGTTGAGGCTATAAATGGAACAACTGTTATTTTGGGCCTTGATTGACCCTTTCATCTTCACATAAATTGTAAGATCAAATTGTCAGTTTTTAAAAATACTTGTACAATTTTTTAAATTAAAAAAAAAAATCTCAGAAACAGGAAGGCAAGTGCCCATGCTGCCATTCAAGGTAGGTAGTCTGGTGTGTTTCAGCTAACTCATAGGGGAGTTAAGACTATGGAAGTTGGTTTTGCTTCAGGCTGAAATGAGTTCAAATCAGTTGGTCACTAGTTTTGTGCCTTTGAATGGGAGAAGAAAGTAGCTCTGTACATTCTGAGCCAACCAGAGCAGTCTAGTGTAATGTCCAGCCTCCCAGGCCCTGCTCTGCCTCACCCTAGAATGTGCCTCTGCTGACCCTTGAAGGGAGTGTTTTCTCTGTCCTGATAGATGTGGCCAGTGACTGTATCTGAGAAAGCTGTCTCAGGGACACACTGTTCTTTGTAACTGGCCTCTTTCAGGTAGCATAATGTTCTCAAGGTTTACCCACACTGTGGCATGTCAGAGCTCCGATCCACATCATAAATGAGAAATACTCTGGGGTGTGTGTGCTTAGATCCCCATTAGTTTATCCCACAGTCTGTCTATGGGCATTTGGCAGTCGGTTCATTTTAACACTGCTGAAGCACACTGCTCAGAGCATTTGTGTGGACACTGATTTCATCTTTGTTCCTGGTTATTTATATATTTATTTATTTTGATTTTCCCTTTCCTTGCCCCATGTATTTATTTTTAATTAACACATAATAAATGTACATATTGTATCTGTGGCTGGACATAGATTGACGGATGTAGATCCTTAATTCTTGGGGTATGTCTATAAGTAGAATTGCTCTAAGCCCCTGAGGAGCTGGGCAGATGTCTCCCTGAACAGCAGAACATTTTCCTGCCCGTGGTCTGCAGGCTCTGCCACTGACGCTGATGCATTCAGCCCATCATAGCTATCTGAGTGTGTGCCTAGTGGTGTCGTAGTCACATTTCCCTGACAGCCAGTGAGGTTGGGCATCTGTTTATGGACTGACAAGCCATTTGTAAATATTTAGAGGCGTGGCCTTTGCCTGCTTCATATGTTCTAGATCCTTCTGCTGCAGAGCACTGGACAGTGTGAATTTGCATTTCAGTATTTAGAATTCACTTTTCCATTTGTAGCATCTGGATAATTTGCAGAATATCAGCTTTCAAGTAAATTCTTTCCCCAGAAAGAACAGTGCAGCCTCCCAACAGCAGGTGCTGCAGGGGGCTGGCCTTAGGACGTACTCTGGAGTCTCCTGACAGGTGTGGGAGTCTCCACATTGCTCAGTCTGCTTTCTTACACAACTCAGGACCACCTGCCAGGTGTGGTACCACCCACAGTGAGCTGGGCCCTTCTACATCAATTATTAACAAGAAAATGCCCAACAGAATTGCCTATAGGCCAATCTTATGGACGAGTTTTCTCAATGACTCTAGCATGTGTTAAGTTGACCAAAAAAAGAAAAACAAACAAACAAAAAAACCCAACCAGGAGAGAGATCTTATTATCTAAAACAATAATTAAAAACAGAAGTACAGGTACTTGCTGTTGGCTCATCTCTTACGCTCCCCTGGTAGTCATCTGGAAATGCGGGTTTGAAAACCGTTCGCCTCTGTTGCAGACCCGCTAGGTCACGTTGGAGAGTCTGCAGAACGGGTGAGGGGTGAGGTGAGTGTGGTTGGCAGACACGTCAGTACCCGGGGGCTGCTGAGACTGTGAGACCTTAAGTCATTGTGGAGTCCTGGAGCCGGGCTCATCTTCTGACTGAGGTGCTTCCTGTGGAGGAATGTTTCCGAAGGATAGGTCCTGGGTTTGTATGGAAGTCTAGTTACGAAGACTTTATCGGTTATAACTGCAGGAACATAAAGCAGCCTAAGCCGGTGTGGAAGTGACCAGCTGTAAGGACCAGGGAGGTGTGAGAAAACCCCAGGCTAGACCATGCTTAGCCATACTACTTTAAACACATCTTCCCTCCCTGGCTCTCTGGTTTCAGGGTTATGAAGACTGGCTCCGCCACAAGGCAGACAATGCCATGAACCAGTGTCCCGTGCACTTCATCCAGCATGGCAAGCTGGTCCGGAAGCAGAGCCGGAAGCTGAGAGTAAGTGGCACACCCACATCTGCCTGTCACCAGTGTGCTTTTCAGAATCGTCTTAAAGTAACTTTTCAAAGCGGGTTTGGTCACTAACAGAACTGTTGTTGGGGGCCACACTGCCCTCTCGTTTCGATGGATGTTTGAATGGCGTGAGCTGCTACAGCAGCTTGCCTCTGCCTGTGCTGGCCACTTGAGAGCGCTTGTGTGTGTGTGCAGACAGACAGTGGCTTTTCGAGCTTGTCTCTGGGTCACAGCCCAGCTCCGACTTTAGTCATCACCTGACTATTAAGTTTGGACTCATTCTCTTCCTGCCTCCTGGTACCCTTCCCATGCCCAAGCCTGCCCCCCACCCCACCTCCCTCCCTCTTAGGCAGCTCTACTATCTGTCCTGACCACATGCCCGAAAGCAGTCTGCGCCAGCCAGGGAGTTCAGCCAGCTCTTGTATAGGATGACCCTTACTCATCCCAGCCTAACACCAACCAGCTGTTGAGCTTGAGGTCAGAGGGTGTCTCAGGATGTGGCCACAGCACCTGGCCACGTACAATGGAACAGCAGCTCCCCAGGATCTCAAAAACATACGTGTGTTTGCTAGTCCCATTCCACGTATTGATTTGTTGATAATGGCTGTGTACATGTTTATTTTAAACACGTTTGATGTATAAATGCCCTTTCATGTGTCACTGCTTCCAAGAGCGCCTTCCCTTCTGTTAGAGAGATTTTTCTGTGTTTTTATATTATGACAGTCTTTCCTGATGTGCCCTGGAGCTGCTCTGGTCTTTAGTGGCCCACGGCACCCAGAGAAGCCTTGTTCCAACAGAAAGCCTCAGCGTGGGTCTTTCCTAGAATCTTGTTAGCATCCTGTAAGACACCGTGGTGGTGTCTTAGCACACTCTAGATACAGCAGGAGAGTGAATTCCAGCCCAGAGTGAGCTGTCACACAAAGGTGGCCTCTCAGTGACCATTCTGTGTCTTGCAGGTTGGGGACATTGTCATGGTGAAGGAAGATGAGACCTTTCCCTGTGACCTGATCTTTCTCTCCAGCAACCGGGCAGATGGGACCTGCCATGTCACCACCGCCAGCTTAGATGGAGAGTCAAGCCATAAAGTAACGTGCCTGGATTTGGGGTGCAGCTCAGGGTCTTCGCCAGACTGGGCTTTGGCAATAGATCTGACATCCTGGGTGCAGACTAAGCGTGTCTATGGTCACAGAGCTCTCTGGGGAGGTCACACCCTCTGACCTGTAACCTTACTTTTGCTCTTTGCTATTTTCAGTTATTTTCTTTCCTCCCTTAATGTTGGTGACGACTGCCATCTGAGGTGGACAGATGTGCCTGCCTTTACCCCGTGAGAGACCTAACTAGATTGGTAGGATAGTAATGTTTCCACTTTCTCATAGAGATTCATGTCTTTCCTAGTCTAGAACTGTGTGACAGTCATGCAAAAGTGTCTTGTTAAAGTATCTTAAGAAATCTTCTGGAACTGTAATTAATCAGTTGAACTCCATATGGAATTCCACACTGGATGTAAAACTTTGATAATCATGAGAGAAGAAAATACAGTACTGTTTAGTTACAGATTTGGTTTTTATCTTAAAAATCTGGGAGAAGTAACTTCTAAGAGATTATGAACTCTAACATAATGAAACCAACCGATGCTCTGGCAGCTCCCAGGAACAGTAGAGAGGCATCATCCTCTCAGACTCCAAAACTGTGGAAATGATTGCTGCAGGTGAGGGCAGCCCGTGCTGTGAGATGAGACACTTCCTCACGTGATTAGCGAAGGATGTCCCAATCTTTAGGGGTAATCTTTAGCACTTTTGTGTGAAGGCCTGTGAGTGGTTTCATATTTTCTAGGTAGAGCATCCTTCTTTAAGCACTAGTAAACATCAGTCCTTTGGGAGAGGGGCTTCTGGATGACTTGAATTAGTGTACCTGGACAGAGCTCATGGTCTGACCATCCTAAGACCTTGTAAGTGACCCACTTCTATTGGATAAAGCCTGCTCATTTGAGGGCAGGACTCTATTCCATGGAGACTGTGATTGCTCAGACAGAATGACCAAGCATCTGGACAGACCTGAGGTCCAGGGGCTTAGCTCAGTTCTGGGCAGTGCGCTGCAGCACCCGCCTTAGCTCGGTTCTGGGCAGTGCGCTGCAGCACCCGCCTTAGCTCGGCTCTGGGCAGTGCGCTGCAGCACCCGCCTTAGCTCGGCTCTGGGCAGTGTACTGCAGCACCCGCCTTAGCTCGGCTCTGGGCAGTGCACTGCAGCACCCGCCTTAGCTCGGCTCTGGGCAGTGTGCTGCAGCACCCGCCTTAGCTCGGCTCTGGGCAGTGCGCTGCAGCACCCGCCTTAGCTCGGCTCCGGGCAGTGCGCTGCAGTACCCGCTGTCAGTCTGGGAAATGCTGGAGTCCCTGCTTCATGCCGGCCCCTTGTGTGTTTGCACAGTGCATGTCATTGTGCTCTGGTGGCATTCCCGAGGTTTGGTTTGGCGCTGGTGGCTGGAGTTATAGGAACCCTGTCCTTGAAAGAACAGGTTGTGGGAAGGTTTCTACCAACCTCAGGGAGTCTTACACTGCTCATAGAACTTTAGCCTGGCTTTTTGCCCTTTCTGGTCTTTTTACGTCTGTGAAAGGTAGCCACACTCATGATGAGAAATCTTCCCCAAATTCTCAACACATAGCAAGTGCTTGGCTGACATAATGGTGATGTGTAATTGTCCACTTGCTCCAGGTCATAGCACTCATTCCAGCACTTATTATTAGAAATATAAGCAGAGATGCAGGGGTCTCTTCTCCTGACAGCCCCTGACACGTCTTTCCTCTCCCCTTCCCCTCCTCTCCTCTCCCCTCCTTTATTCTCCTCCCAGGATAAAGGAGGAAGAATGTTTACCGGTCCATGGTCCCCATAGGTGCTAGCAGCACAGTGTCAGCTGGTCTCTTCTTAGAAATGCAGTTCCTAGACCTCCTGCTCAGACCCACTGCATTGAGTTCGGGAGGGTGGCCTAACAGCAGTGGCTGGGAAGGGGCTGTCAGGGACAGGAAGACTCAACGCTATGCAGGATTGCTGGTGCTGGGAATCGGGGAATTTTGATGCACACGTAGTTCAGATTTGAGGGACCTCTGGTCCAAATAGCTGAACCGCTGCCTAGAAGCAATGATAGGAGGAAAATTGGTAGCAGAATTTGGAAAATGAAACCAATTGGTGCTTTGGGCACCTCCTAGGAACACTAGTACTTTGCCTAAAAGAGGAGGGGCACGTCAGCAATTGATAGCTCTCCCAGGGCAGGTACTTCAATGTCAGGTGTACAGGGTCCCAGGTTTGCCCTTTGTCCTGCTGGGTGAGCAGGAGGAGTCGGAGCTCTTGCCCCCCCCCCCCCAGCGGAGCAATAGCTGAGGCTCAGCCTTTGCACCCAGACTCACAGTGGGGCTCACGGATGTGCATGGAGACCAGATTCTGGGGGGTGCCAGCAGCCAGGTGGAGTGAGGTTGGGGTGCAGCTCACCTTCCTCTCCCTCTGCAGACTCACTACGCAGTGCAGGACACCAAGGGCTTCCACACGGAGGAAGATGTTGATGGGTTGCACGCCACCATCGAGTGTGAACAGCCACAGCCCGACCTCTACAAGTAAGCCGAGCATGCTGACCGGAAGAGCCTGGGTGCCCTGCTGGAAAGGTCGCCTTCTGTTGCCTAGACAAGCACCGTGCAGACCGCAGCTTCCCAGAAGGAAGCCTAAGTGTTCTTTCCTTTGAGGAGTGGTTTGAGTTAAGAGGGGTCGTCTAAGCCGTGGGTGAAGACGCACAGGAAGTGGGATGAGGAGGGAGGAAAAGTTGAGTGGCCGGGCCACCGCCGGTCACGCTGAAGAGGTCACGCTGAAGAGTAGGACGAGCTAGCTGTCCTGCAGTCTGCAGGTCCCGTCACTGCTACCGAGAGTAACGAAGTGCGCTTTTCTGTTGCCAGGTTTGTGGGACGCATCAATGTTTACAACGACCTGAACGATCCTGTGGTGAGGTAAGTCTTCTTGAGAATCCAGGCCTTTATCGTCTTCATTGTTATGTTAGATGTTCATTTTTTGATGAGTTCTACCACGTCACTTGGTTTAGAAGGCAGGGCCTGCCTCCTAAGTTCCACTCTCCCACGTTGACTCTAGGGTTTTGGCTGTGCATGTTGATGTGATGAAGATCCTGGAACCCTTGCCCGTGACACTACCGATGGGTAGCCTCTCCAGCTAGGCAAGGCCAGAAACCCACAGGATAGTTCTTAATGAGGGCAGGGCCCAAACCCACTGTGAAAGGCACCTTCATGTGCTGTGACATCAGAAGTTTCCAGTACAGAGGCCTGAGAGTAGAGCAGCCTGCCCGTGGCCATCACTGGGGAGATGCTTGGGGTTTCTCTCAGGCCTAACTAGGAAGAGAGGGCCTGCTGCTTGTGAGGAGGTGCTGTGTGCGCCCTGCTCCACCATCGCGGCCTCAGTGCCCACAGTCACAATATCTGCTGAGAGAGAGCAGCCCTCAGGGGCACTGTGAGCCCAAGAGCCAGCCTGGTATTGGCCCTGGGTGCCACCTCACATGTCCCCATCTGGGCACCACATGCCGCCATCCACCGCAGATGTTCCGTTAGAAAGTCGTCTGCCTCAGACCGTTATATCTGGTGTGTTTGGTGAGGAAGTGTTTGGATTTATTGCTTAGGAAATTGGCTTTCAGTAGGTTTTGAGGTTGACTTTTTTCTTGCAGTTTAAGGAATTTCCTAATTATTGATAACCTAGTATCACTGTATGCTGAAGGAAACATTTGCTGGGAAGTAGAGGTAGAGTTCTTGGGGGCATACCGCAGAGTAAACAGTCACTGGAGTATCCAGATCTGGCCTGGCTCTCGTGGGACTCAGCAGCTACTTTAAGGGAACAGCCTGGGAACTTCTTAGCATGTATTTTTAGTGGTTATTTTTTGTTTGTGTTACTTATTTCTGAGACCTTATTTTGCTATTAGCTAGAAAGGCCTTGAACACCTGACCTTCCAGCCTAGCCTCCTGAGTGCTGCCTCACAGTCTGGTGCCACCATTCCAGCTCTTACCCTGGTTTGTGGTCACCGTCTATCAGCAGGTCAGTAGGGCATTAATTTGGAGGAGGGCTGGAGGCGTTACTTTTGTTTTCAAAGAAGAGTTCCTTATTGCTTTGGAGACTAGACAGTGTGGACAGCTGATTTGTTTAGGATGAAAGAACAAATGAGGTTGTTCTCATGCCCATTGGTGAAACTGAGGGGGCATGTACTATGGACTCCGAGCTTCACACTGAGGGGAAGCTGTAGCCCCAGGCTGGGGACCATGGTCCTAATGAACTTTGTATTTTGATAATAGCTTTAGCTCAGCCTTTCACATCAGGACTGTTTTTTGTCATTTGGATTCTTAAGATATTTATAAATATTAGAAGTAATATAAACAGGAGGAACACATTTGCTTTTTATCAGTCCCCCATCCAAATTCCCAGTTCACTCAATTACATTTCTTGTTCAGTCTGTCCACACTAGAAGCAAAGTATTTTGTCAAGTACTTTATCTTTAGAGCTCTCCGAGGCCCGTTTAAGGTGAGGCCATTTGTTTTCATTAACATTTGTGGCATGAATTATTGTAAGCAAGTTGCTAATAGACGTTGACAGCCATGGACAGCCAGGGAACTGTTGTCAGTGGCTGGCAGACCAAAGGAGCCTCCAGGTGTCTGCTGACCGCCTCAGTGAGACGCCTGAGCAGCTTGCAGCCCCCGTTTCCCTGGCCTCCTGCAGGCACATCTGAACCGTGTTGGCCAAGCACACTGGCCCCACTGAGGGTGTGATGTCCTGTGCATTCCCATCTGTGCAAAGGACAGACGAGTAAGCTAGTAAATTCAAGACAAACATTTCCACCTCTCTGACACACCATGGTCACTGGTGTGTGCTCCTGTCTGACACACCATGGTCACTGGTGTGTGCTCCTGTCTGACACACCATGGTCACTGGTGTGTGCTCCTCTCTGACACACCATGGTCACTGGTGTGTGCTCCTCTCTGACACACCGTGGTCACAGGTGTGTGCTCCTGTCTGACACACCATGGTCACTGGTGTGTCCTCCTGTCTGACACACCATGGTCACTGGTGTGTCCTCCTGTCTGACACACCGTGGTCACAGGTGTGTGCTCCTCTCTGACACACCATGGTCACTGGTGTGTGCTCCTCTCTGACACACCGTGGTCACAGGTGTGTGCTCCTCTCTGACACACCATGGTCACTGGTGTGTCCTCCTGTCTGACACACCATGGTCACTGGTGTGTCCTCCTGTCTGACACACCATGGTCACTGGTGTGTGCTCCTCTTTGACACACTGTGGGTCACAGGTGTGTGCTCCTCTCTGACACACCATGGTCACAGGTGTGTGCTCCTGTCTGACACACCATGGTCACTGGTGTGTGCTCCTGTCTGACACACCATGGTCACTGGTGTGTGCTCCTCTCTGACACACCGTGGTCACTGGTGTGTGCTCCTGTCTGACACACCATGGTCACTGGTGTGTGCTCCTGTCTGACACACCATGGTCACTGGTGTGTGCTCCTCTCTGACACACCGTGGTCACTGGTGTGTGCTCCTGTCTGACACACCGTGGTCACTGGTGTGTGCTCCTCTCTGACACACCGTGGTCACTGGTGTGTCCTCCTGTCTGACACACCATGGTCACTGGTGTGTCCTCCTGTCTGACACACCGTGGTCACAGGTGTGTGCTCCTCTCTGACACACCATGGTCACTGGGATGCAGCAGTAGGATTCACACAGAGTTCTGCTGCTTAGAAGAACGGTGTGCAGCTGCTGCCTGTGGGTAATCCTTGCATGCTGAACTTCTGTTCCAGAGGCCCCGAGGCCCAGCCTCCCATCACACTGAGGAGGAGTCTCCAGTCCTAAGGACAGGAGGGAAACAGTTGAAGGATGGTGAAACTCAGGGTTTTAGCCTTTTCAGAACATTTTGAGGTCCCCTAGCACAGCCCCTCACATTGGAGGTGTGTTGGGAGAGGGTTGCTGGCCCTGCCTTCAGACCTCTTTTATAGCGGGTCTCGGTGACATTTTTGATGTCCCTGGGTGTTGCAGGTGGTGCATATAGGGACTCTTCCTGAAGACTCTACCTGTGGCTTCTGGTGGAAATGTCATTGAAACATTCAGGCTCCAGGTTATTTGAGGGCAGGTGTCCTGCTCCCTTGAGGCCTCTCAAATGCCACTGTGGAGCTCCAGGCCCCAGTGAGTGACAGGCCAGGAAAACAGGACTAGATACAGTCCAGCAGGCGATGTCTCCAACTCAGAGAAGCCCAGTGCTTATGCAGATGGACTTTGGCGATCTCAGTATGAGCAAATGCACACTGTACCACTTCCTTTCCGGGCAGTTGAATCGATTTCCAGTCTGAAATCCCACCATTGTGTCATGCCACTTCTGGTCTCCTTATCTTCCAGGCCATTAGGATCAGAAAACCTGCTGCTCAGAGGAGCCACACTCAAAAACACAGAGAAGATCTTTGGTAAATATTTTAATTTGCAAAGCACTGGTAATCATTTCTAAAATCTAGGACACACTAAGCGAACCAAACTCCACACACCCTGAGAGGCCACCAGATTCTTTGAAGTCCCGCAGACTTGGTGCAGGACGACTCCCTAAGAGATGAGTGCTGTGGTGTGACCTGAACCCACAGGGCCATGGCAGTGAAGGTCCTGGCTTGCTTATTGAGGACCTTAACTCATGACTGGGAACATGAAGCTATATCCAGGAAGCTATTCCCAAGCATTATATGCAGGAGAGTTCTCTAAGTCTGCTTTTCAGGATTAGTACCTCCCATTGACAGTGTGCTGTTTCCTGTTTTAAATAACTTTTAAAATACACACTGTGCCCGCTGCCAGATCACCCAGTATATTAGCATTCGGACTGAAGAGTGTAAAGTGCAGATCAGATCTACGCAGGACAAGTCCTGAGTGTGAGGAACCCAGCTTCCTCAGGAAGCTCACTTGCTGGTTAAGTTGGAGATGCGACCTATTTGTGTGAACATCCTTTCTTCCAGAGGATGGGCATCTCACAGAGTCTTCTGCTTCCAGGTGTGGCTATCTACACGGGCATGGAGACCAAGATGGCCCTGAACTATCAGTCTAAGTCCCAAAAGAGATCTGCTGTGGAAAAGTAAGGACAGCCCGCTGCTGCTACCTTCTACCCATCACTAGCTCCTGTAGATTCAGTAATGTCCTGGGGGCCCAAGTGTCCTCGGGGACCCACAGGGTCCTTGGGGGCCCACAGTGTCCTCGGAAGCCCACAGTGTCCTTGGGGGCCCACAGCGGCCTCAGGGGACCCACAGTTTCCTCGGGGGGCCCACAGCATCCTCGGGGGACCACAGTGTCCTCGGGGGCCCACTCCTCCAGGGACTGGAGCTGCTAACCACAGAGCCTATTACTCGGGGATTTGCTTGCTTTCCTCCTGGTGGGATAAATGACTGCACCCCTCTCTTGCTAACACACTGCCTGTAAGTCATTCCCCAAAGTTCTAATTTTGGGTCAGTCACAGATGCCTCGCATCCCCAGCCACTGACACAGGCAAATCTCACAATGGGGGTCATATTCAGACTCTTCCAACCCAGGGACTTGATAGGAACCAAGTGTGTCCTGATGTGGTTTTACTGAGGTCACTGAGCAGAGTGAATATTTTCCATTAGACAGGGAAACGCTGACAACTGTCAGGACGGAGGGTAGACTTATGAGAACGTGGAGTCTGAGGCTTTGTCATCTCGGCCCCTTGTCGGAGCTGTCCTGCTTGATGTGGACGGCCTCCATGTCACAGAGTGAAGCAGCGGGAGCTAGTTAGTTACCATGTGCAGGACGCTGGCAGGTGACCTAGGGATGCCGTCCCTGGGCCTGTCTGCGGCTGTGTTAGGCGTGAAAATGGAGATGGGCTTTTCCTCAACTAGGAAGCTCTGCTTGCAGACATCTGTGTGTGATACATGGGCTTGAGAAGCAGACCTTGCCCCAAATCTGCCTCATCATGATTCAGCACAGGCATTTTCTAGCCTCACACATTCCTCTCACTCCAGAGTGAGAGTCACTAAGCTCTAAGCTCATTTGGTGGCACCTGATGGCCAACGAAGCTGACTCCCTTTTCTGTAAGCAGGAGTTCCAATGATCCAAAGAGGTTCATTAGCCTCATGGCAGCATGTACCTTTCCCTCTCTTCCCATGGCTCTGGTCCTGTGTCCTGAGCATTAGCAAAGGTGGCTGTGAATGAGCTGAGTCTTCTGGGTCAGGGTGGACACTGCCCTCCAGGGCATTTCTGGGTGTCCTGTGCTGTCCCTTCGTGGTGAGGAAGGACCGGGAGCAGCCTCTGAAGGCTGGGCTGTTTTGCTGTAGGTCAATGAATACATTTCTGATCGTGTACCTCTGCATCCTGGTGAGCAAGGCCCTGATCAACACGGTGCTGAAGTACGTGTGGCAGAGCGAGCCCTTCCGAGATGAGCCATGGTACAACCAGAAGACTGAGTCAGAGCGCCAGAGGAATCTGGTATGGAAGTACTTCCTTTGTGTGAGGGAGGTGACCTGGGGCCGTTGTCACAAAAAACCAATGGTGCCAGGAAACTACAAAAGTGAATTAGCTTCAGGCAGAATGAAGCCTCGCCTGAGTTTAGGACAGAGGCCATCACTGGCACATGGTGTGGGCAGGTATGAGCTGCCTCTGTCCCTGGATACTAGAATATCCAAGCCTGGAAAGTATTTGTTTCCACAGGAAATGTATAAAGGACCAAAATCATTTTGATGTTTCCAAAACTCAACACATCACTGAGATAAATGCTGCTTTTTGTGGTAACTAGGGGACAAAATGCTCTGACCTCAGAGCAGGGCCATGTGCAAACCTAGGCCTGTGTGCACTGATGTTCTGTGTGCAGATGTCGCCCTGTGTACAAGCACAGACCCTGCATGATGCTGGGCTCCATCTGTCAGATAGCCTCTCCCTGATAGCTTCAAAGGTAAGAATAAACTGTACAGAGAAGTCATTCAGAGCTGAGTGTGGCGGTGCGTGCCTATAATCCCAGCACTAGGCTGAGATGGGAATTGTGATTTTGAAGAGAAAGCCACTGTATAGCAAGGTTCCACCTCGTCCTAAGTTTGAGGATTGTTAGGTACAGAGGGACATCATGAATACTCAAAAGTGGCATTCCCATTGGGCCCTACTTAGCATGGCCTCTCCATATCCCTGACAGTGTGGTTAGTGTGAACTCCTGTCCCTGTCCCTCACCGTGTCTCCACCAGCACAGCCATCTGATTCTACTCTTGGTCTTAAGACATGCCAGGCAATGGTCCCTAGCGGATCTTTGTCTTTGGGTGGAAGTACTTGTGTTTACTTATCTGACTGGGGTAAGAGATGGCAATCTGAGGTTTCCTGTTCTTGCCATGTGACCTGCAGCTTCCTTATGCAGCCAATGCTCTCAGTTCCTCAGGGCCTTCACCGACTTCCTGGCCTTCATGGTCCTCTTCAATTACATCATCCCGGTGTCCATGTACGTCACAGTGGAGATGCAGAAGTTCCTTGGTTCCTACTTCATCACCTGGGACGAAGACATGTTTGATGAGGAGATGGGAGAAGGGCCTCTGGTCAACACATCTGATCTAAACGAGGAGTTGGGACAGGTCAGTGTCTTCTAGAGACTGCATGATTCCTTAGTGGTCTGGGTGCTCCTCGATTACTAGTAACTCGTCCAGGCGATGCACTCAGCATGTAGATATGCTGCAGTGAGTGAAAGTCAGAAGTAAGGGCAGCAGTGGAAAGACACCGTCTTCTTTATTTTCCTGCGTGTGTCTTTTTTAACTTGACTTATATAATACAGTCAATATGGTTCTTTTAACTTTGTAATGTAAAAAGTTGATTGCACTAGCTGATTGGAGTGAGCTCAAATCCCTGGGCTTGCTTTCTTATTCTGGGCCTTGTAGCTGAAAGAGCGTTGAGTGTGTTGGGAGGCCACGGTCCCAGCACTTTCTTTCTGTCAGGCATCACTTTTTTATTTTTGTATGACATTTAACCTCAGAGCAAGCTAGACGAGCAAACAGAAACTTAGGACAGCTTTCTGGGGTGGTGTGTTGCAGAGTTAATGAATGCATGGTTTGCAGAACCATAGTTCCTTTAGCTCAGGATTAGAGTGTCATGGTCTGTACTATGAATAAGTATCAGAGTTCTGCCTTTCCAGTGTTGCAGAATGAGATAACAGATGTGAGGCAACAGTCACAGCATCTGTGATAGCCATCAGGGGCTTCACCTTGTGAGGACAGGGCTGATGCACACTGCAGCTGTTGCTCTGTGTTCTATATGAGGCCACCAGGGTCCCACAGAGTAGGAGAGGGCTGACATGCACCCACATCTGCTGACTGCAGACCTCAGTGTTGCTACATAGAAAAGGATACCCCAGAAGGGCTCCTTCCATCTCACCCAGCCCCAAGGGGAGCCTCTGACCTTTCCCAGCCTTATGTCACCGGAAGGGCCATTTGGCAAATGGCAATCATTAAATAAATAATTCATTTGAATTGGACACTGTAGCCTGCCCTGTGCTTTCGTAGCAATACCATGTAAACGGTCTGTAGACTGACAGGCGCATGTTCCCCACCTGCCTTGGGGAACACGTTTGTTACTGAAGAGGACATCTTTCTGATGCGTTCCTCCAGGGTATTTCAGGCCCCACCTCCTGTGTAACGCGTGTGGTCTGGTCTTTAGAAATCGGTTAAGGGAATGTCAAGGGATGCCCTGGGACAAGATGGCTAGCAGGAAAACATCCATATGCATGAAATAAAATAACTTTAAAAAAATAATACACCATGGCAACCTAGAATCCCTCACAGAATTCAACTCTGTCCTGTCCTAAGCAAGGCAGGCTACAGCCTGTGTTCAGTGAACTGGGCCTCTGAGGACAAGACCAGTTGGTGACTCCACAAAGCAGTGCCTTCACCTGGCTGCCCCATGAATGTCGGTGAGCAATGCCTCTCTACACAGCAGAGCAAAATGGCAGTTGTTCCTGTGAAACAGGAACTCCCCTCCAGCCAGTGTCTGTGTCTGAGCAGAGATGACCTCATTCAGGGGCTTCATGCGTTTCCCTGTGACCCGCCCATCCCTGTGATGTCAGCACTCATATCCATGTTGTGTGGAGGAGGAATTGAGGCTGGAAAACTTCCCCAACTGTCATAGGAGTCAGGTGTGGAACCACTGCTGTCATGAAAGACACATTGCCTCTGACTGCAGTCCCTGCCTGTGACTGTGCCTAGCAGGGCTCATGCCTTTGATCACCAGCGTCCTTGATGGGCACAGGCGCAAACTAGCAGGAGCTGCAGAATGACCACTTGACACGATCCAGTGGGGCTCATCCCTGGCATGCCAGGGTGGGCCAGCACACACCATCGGTAGACAATGTCCACACCACGTTGCAGGAGCGTACAAGCCAGATAACTACCCACAGACACAGAGAGGATGTAGACAGTTTCATGGCAAGTTAGGAGAAGGCACATCCTAACACAACACAGACCATGTGTAGCAGCCCCATAGCCAGCATCACACTCCGTGGAGAAATGTCCAACTTCCTCTTAAGTTTGACAGGTAGGCCAGGAGCAGCAGAGGATTCCTGCTCTTCCCCAGCTGTTCAGTAAGGTGCTGCAGGAGAGAAGAAGAAGAGAGGAGACGTCCAACCAGGGAAGAAGAAAGTTAAATTGTCCCTGTTTGCAGACAACTGCATAAAACAAGAAACTATTAGAACTAATAAATTCAGTAAAGTTGAAGGGTGTGAGCTCAAACACATAAAACCGGAGTCCAACATTAATGTCAGACTCCTGGATGAAAGACTCTCACAGACCTGTCTAAAATAGTGATGACCATGTTTCCTTGGTGTCTCCAGCCAACAGAAACGGTTGGATTAGCATCAGGAATTTGGGCTGGAGAAATGGCTCAGCAGTTAAGAGCACTTGCTGCTTTTGCAGGAGCCCAGAGTTTGGTTACCAGTACCCATGAAGGGCAGCGTACAGCCACTTGTGATTCCAGCTCCCAGAGATCCAACACACTCTTCTGGCTTCCACAGGCACCTGATCTCATGTGTGCACACCTTACACAGACACCCATACATACACATAAGTTTGTTTTGTTGTTGTTGTTTTTCAAGAGAGGGTTTCTCTGTATAACAGCGCTGGCTGTCCTAGAACTAGCTCTGTAGTTACTCACAGAGATCCACCTGCCTCTGCCTCCTGAGTGCTGGGATTAAAGGTGTGTGCCGCCGCTGCCACTACCACCACTACCTGGCAACTTTTTTTTATCTTAAAAATTTTAAACCTTTGTTCATAAAACTGTGTAACATAGTTGATATGAAGATCAACCAAGGTAATGTCCAGTGCCTGGCATACACTAAGAACTAAGAAATGTCCATTGTAATTTTTTTAATTGTTATCATAGTCACAGAAATTGGCTACCTGCTGGGTCCTTAGGGACTTCAGGCTGGGTGACCCTGAAGAGGCCCCACGGACTTTGGCTGGTGTTTACACAGCAGCCTCGGTACAGCATTGCTCTGTGCGTGTGGTTGGTTTGTTACAGACAAGCACAGGTGAAGGGCACATCTGTTGGAGTTTGTGAAACATGTTCCTGGGCGGACCCTTGTGGGGTGCATGGTCTGGCTCTCCCTCTGCACCCCAACCCCGACCCCCCAGTGGAGTAGATTCCACCTACTCCAGAGCTGTGCACGGGCCTGGAAGCTCAGCTGTCCATGATGGGTGTGCAGCCTGTGGTTCACTTTCATTCACAGTTGAAGGCTGGAGGCATCTTCAGCACTCTGTGCTTTTCTTCCTGAAGTGTCTTTGCTCTTTTCCTGTGTGCATCCTGTCTTCTAACCCTCTCCTCAGCCGGGAGCCTCGACCTCTCCGACTCGTAGAGAAGGTTCTTCCCTCTCTCATCTGTGTTGTCCCTCATCCTGCCCTTCCCAGACACGTGGAGCCCTGGTTCCCTGGAGGCCGAGTTCTGCAAGGCCACATTGTATTCTGCTTCCTATTTGTCACCAGTGTGAGGAGGGTAGGGCCTCCTCCCCCGAAATTGCACCTGTGTGGGTAAAGGAGGGTGCCATGGGTACCCACACATGACACTGGAGCTGTCTGGACAGACTCTCAGAAGTTCCTGTCCCCACTAGGATTGTAACAGGCTTGGGCTAAGAATTGTCACCTGCCTAAATATGGCTTGACCTGAGTGTGTGGTACCCTCAGGTGGAGTACATCTTCACAGACAAGACGGGCACCCTCACAGAGAACAACATGGCCTTCAAGGAGTGCTGCATCGAAGGCCAGGTCTACGTCCCCCATGTCATCTGCAATGGGCAGGTCCTTCCCGACTCCTCCGGCATCGATATGATCGACTCCTCCCCGGGTGTCAGTGGAAGGGTAGGTTGCAGCTCCCGGAGGGAGGTTGTGCTGTGCCTCATGGTCAAGGATGTGAGGAGGTGGGATGCTCTCACTCCCAGAAGCTGCCCCATTCATCTGAGCAATACAACAAAGTCAGGAATCCTTTGTAGGACTTCAGTGAGGTCACGGTTAGAATCTACCGTGGTGCTGTGTCCACTTCCAAGGGACAGGAAGTCTTGACAGTGATTCCTGTGGTAGAATTGACCAAACAAACCAGGACAAATGGGACAGGCAGTATGCTGAGGATAGTGTGACTATACCCAGTTTGCGTGTGTACAAAGCTGCATGTGCATACAGACGTGTGTACACGCACCTAGACACATACACATATGTATTTACATGCACATAGAGATATGTATACAGATGCTACACTTGTGCTCACACACACACACACACACACACACACACACACACCAGAGTGCCGTGGCCTCGGGTCTTAGTGTTCAAATTCTAGCACCAGTTATATGGTGACTAAGGGATAAATCATGACTGCAGAACCTGAGGCGTCCACTGAGAGCCGAAAGTGACCCGGTGGCCGTCCCGAGACCTGAACGCACCCCAAATCCCACAGCCACATTGATTGTCATGGGCCACTGTGCTGTCCAGCTACTGAGGACCTCAGGGACCTTTGAACTCTGACTGCAGGGGGTAGCCAGCACTGAGGAGGCCGAGCTCAGATCTGGGTCAGCCTGCCATGACCTCACGCATAGCTCTTCAGCTCAGCGTGAGGCTCCCAGCTTCTGCGTCCAGGGCTGTGTTGTGATTGAGCTGCAGGCTGCACGCACACTGCTGGAGGTTAAGTCATGCAGAGGGCAGTGTCCTTTGCCAGGCAGACTACCACTGTGGCCAGGAACGAGTATGCCAACTACATAGGTGACATTTTCCCACCATGACATGGCCATTCCTGAGAGTGCTTATAGCCATGCCTTCCTGGTTCCTAGGAGTGTCACTATGAGCAAAACCCCTTCTTTCGGTCTTCACTGCCTGTTAATACTTACACGAGTTGCCATGGCAACTCTGGAGCATGAAGGAGTCACATGTGCTTCTCTTTTGTAACCACTGAGACAGGCTAATGACAGCTCACCCCCAGGAGGTCTTAGCCTCTGCTTTGTGAGCCTGTCCAGTCTCTCTCAGATTCTTCCCACAGCAGGCAGAGGTGTTAGAGTTTCCCTGACTGTCTCCACAGGAACGGGAGGAGCTGTTTTTCAGGGCTATCTGCCTGTGCCACACCGTCCAGGTGAAGGATGACGATCATGGGGATGACGTAGATGGTCCGCGGAAATCTCCAGACTCCAAGTCCTGTGTGTACATCTCATCCTCGCCTGATGAGGTCGCACTGGTTGAAGGTGTGCAGAGGTGAGTCGGGCCACTGGGCTCAGAGAGTGCTGGGGTGACAGGTCTGCGACTCAGAAAAACTGTATTGTGACCTCTGTGACCTCATATCCCTTGCACTCTATGGAGGTGGCTTTCCTGGCCAGCAACACAAGCCCTTGTTGCTGTGTTTTCTGTGCTTAAAGCTGTCTAGACAGAGCCCTGTCCCCAGGCCTTCCCTTGGATCCTAAGACGCCAAGGCCACCTCTCTGCAGCTCTCCCTGTCACCTGACCCAGAGAGCTAGTCACCTGACCTGGAGAGCTAGCAGCTGGATGGGAGGCTCACCTGACCTGGAGAGCTAGCAGCTGGATGGGAGGCTCACCTGACCTGGAGAGCTAGCAGCTGGATGGGAGGCTCACCTGACCTGGAGAGCTAGCAGCTGGATGGGAGGCTCACCTGACCTGGAGAGCTAGCAGTTGGATGGGAGGCTCACCTGACCTGGAGAGCTAGCAGTTGGATGGGAGGCTCACCTGACCTGGAGAGCTAACAGCTGGATGGGAGGCTCTGCTCATCACTGCTCTTTCTTTGTGTTGGGTCTTTCCATCTGGGGTGTTTACACTGACCAGGGGTCTTCCTGGAGTTCTTTCTGCTATGGGAAATGTGGCGTGTTACACAGACATCCAGAAAAACACTCCAGACATGTGACACGATTTCAGGCCAGGGATATCTCTAAGACTCTCAGCTCACAATTCTCATGGAATAGCGAACTCCCAGTGTCCCTCTTTGCCGCCACTAACAAATGTGTGCAGCCTTCAGAGACTGAGAACGGCGGGAGAACATTTTTGTGCCTCTCACCTCTTGGAATAGTGTTGTGTTGTAACTAAGCAGATCTGTTTTTCCTGTACAGTTTAGGTAGAGGCAAAGATATGTGAATGATGTTGCCCTCACTAGGTATCCAAACCGCCCCAATACATACATACACACAAAACAAAACAAAACAAAAAACTCTTGAGGCTATGTTTAGGAGCATTTATAGCAGTGGTTCTCAACCTGTGAGTTGCAAACCCTTTGGGGGTCACATATCAGATATCCTGCATCCCAGATATTTACATTATGATTCATCACAGTAGCAAAATTATAGTTTTGAAGTAGCAATGAGATCATTTTATGGTTGGGGTCACCACAACATGAAGACCTGTATTAGGAAGGTTGAGAACCATTGGTTTATGGGGTGAAGCCATGGCTGCTATAGAGAGGAAAGTCAACTCAGGCTGTCCAGCCATCCCTGCAGCTCTTCTCTTCCCAGGGGTCTTTGTCTCAGCTGAGCCAGCTCCCACTGGAGCAGGTGGCTGACATCACCCATATGCCCAGCACCTGCCTGCTGTGACAGCTGGTGCTGGATGGGCGGTGTGTTCTGTCCCACCTTTTGGTAAGCTGCTCAGCCAGACCTTCTTCAGGTGCCCCGTGGCTGGAGGTGTGTGTCTGTGCAGCAGAGGGAGGTGGGGTAATAGCATTGCCGAGAGCCACCGTAGGCCTACGTCCTGTCAGATAACTAGGTTGACCGAGGGCTGCATAATTTATAACTTATAAAACAGAAACAAAACAAGCCCAGAATGTATTTCTCACAGTTTGGGGGCTGGGAGGTCCAGGGTCAAGGCAGCAGCATCTCAGAGGGTTTCTTGCTGTGCCCAGAATGGTGGCAGTATGGAGAGAAGGCGAGAGAACAAAATTCTTCTGTGTCTGAGGAGCCCTCTCCTGCAGTGGCCTGATTATTCATTTCATGAGGGGCCAAGTCTCCCTGGCCAACTCCTCTTGACACTTGCACTAGGGTTCAGTTTCCAACCCAGGGACTTTGGTGACTGTTCATCCTGTGGCAGATAGCCTCTGAAGCTTCTCTTTCTACTCAAGCCCACTAATCAATCAGTGAAATGTGGTTGGAAGCAAGACGTGCAGCCCAGACACCTGGTGCTGGCTTTCCACAAGCCCCCAGCATCCACAGAGTGTACCTCTTCACTGTAGGCGTGCAAACTCTTGGGTCATTTCTAAGGTGGTCTATAAATCCAAATCCCTGTGCCCTGGCTTTATACTGCACCCAACAACCTGGCTTACTGAAAGTGCTTCCTCTCCAAGGAAGGTTGCCATGGAAGAGGCCTGTCTGGACTCCAGACTCAGCTCTGCTTTGGCTTCTCCCTCCGCAGGCTTGGTTTCACGTACCTGAGACTGAAAGACAATTACATGGAAATCCTGAACAGGGAGAATGACATCGAGAGGTGAGGAGCTTCTGCATGAAGTCGTGTCACTGGGAAAGGACTGCGTCCCACTTGTTGCTGTGAGATGCCCAGGACTGTGTGAGAGGCTGCAGGGCTGCACACTGCAGGGCTGCAGAGGTCCTGTCTGAGCCGGGCCCTGAACTCAAGGCAGCTCCAGCCGGGCCTTGAACCCAAGGCAGCTCCGGAGCCCCGGCAGGTCTCCTGGAGAGGTTTTCAGACTTGGCATGAGAGTTGCAGGCTCTTTCGATATTCCAACTGAGACATAGATACTATGACTCTTCTGGGAGGAGTCAGAGCCTGACTGACCCATCGCCACTCTTAAACACTGATCCCAACACAAGGCTGGAGCTGGGCATCCTGTGAGGCCCAGGACATCCAAGGGGGCATCCACACAGTGTGGACAGGGCACAGGGAGAGGTGAGATGCCCACTTCCTGCTGTGGCAATCCTTTGGCAATCACTCAAACTCAGCACCCACTTGGCAGCAGAGAATATAGTATATCCCCCCTTTCTGTTTCAGATTTGAATTGCTAGAAGTTCTGAGTTTTGACTCTGTGCGGAGAAGAATGAGTGTGATTGTAAAATCTGCTGCAGGTAAGATGTCTCCTAGTGTTACATGGTGGTGGTTTTCTTCTGATGGAGAATTCTTTCAGACCTTAAGGGTTTGGGACATAAGAACTATTCCACGTTTGTGTGTGTGCATGTAGGTGGATGTGTATGTGTGTGTACATTCGAGTGTGTGTAGGCCATAGGACAACCTGGGGTGTCACACCTCAGGCAGTGTCCCCTCCTCTCTTTTATCTTTGGGTCTCTCACTGGCTTGGATCTCACTGAGTAGGACAGACTGACTGGCTAGAAGTCCCCCTGTCCTGCCTCCCCAGCACTGATAATTGCAAATGTGTGCTTCTGTGCCTAGCTTTTTTCACATGGGCTCTGGGAATTGAACCCAGGCCATCATTCTCGCAAGGCAGATTCTTCACCACCTGAGCTGTCTCCCCCTCTCCATTTATTCCATTTTTAAAGGCACAGGTAAAACTCTTCTACAGTAACAGCTTTGGAAAGAAGTGAGTACTATCCAAGCCTCCTGCAGACACTCCATCGCATCTGTGAATGTCCTACTGCTCCACACACATCTAAAACACCGTATTTAAGGACATAGGCGTGTGTAGATACTTCTGTACTAGAATTCAGAATACTAATTGCAGTGGATTTCTTGGCTGGCTGGTTGCCATGACAATGGCTCTTTATTTGGGAGTGGCACATTCTGGTTTTTGGCTAAAGTGTGGGATGGTGAGGGAGTGGGTGCGGTGGGACCCCTTGACCAGGTGGTTCTGTTTGCCCTGCCGTGTGCCGTGTGATCTCCATGTGGGTTGGCACTTGCCTCCTCCCTCCCATGTAGCTCTGCGGCTGTCCTTCTCTGTCAGCATCTCGTCTAGAAGGCCTTATGAGTTAGTCCCTTGTCACCCTCTCCAGAGGAATCCCCACAAAGGGAGATATGTGCCTCATCCTCTCCCTGCCCTCACGTTGGGCCGGATGCCCCGCAGCACTCACAGGACTCTCCCTACAGCCACATAGCTCTGGTGTCGAGGTTTGGTTACTGGTCTCCTGGACGTTGACCAGCACTTTCTGTGGGCGAATCCCCAGGTCGCATTCTCGTCTCCTCGCCACCCGGAGGCTGCTTGCCCAGCTGTTTCTCCTTCCTGGATCATGGTGTGAAGTGGCAGTCCCTGCACAGGTCCCTCACTGAGGCCCTGGAATGCCTTCCTGGATGCCCCCAAGTATCCACAGCATCCACGCTGGGAACTGCCTAGTATTCCCCCTGCCTGGTGTGGACTGTCCCTCCTGGGAGGTCCCATCACTCTTCCGCACCTTTCAGGGGACACTGACTGAACAACAGTCATGTCTCTGTTAACAGGGTTTTTCCAGTTTATGCACCCCACATTAATAGTTCCTACAGTTTGGAAATAGGTCAAGTGGGTGCCCCAAGTAGCTGGGCTCTGGGATTTGACCCCATCCTCAGACCGGAAGTGTGCCCCTCCGTCCTCCCACCCTGGACAGTTGAGTAAACCAGTCACCACCGGCCTCTTGAGCCCTCTGGATTTACTCTCCACATATTTCCAAGCACCCTCCGTGCTGGGGCGTAGGAGCCTGTCCTACAAGGAATCTGTGTATCCCACCTTCCTGGGAACATAATCCACGCCATTTCCCTTCTGTAGCCCTGCTGCCACTGGGAAGTCAGTGTATTTCTTTCTCTCTCTCTCTCTCTTTTTAATTGTTATTATTGTTGTTGTTATTATTGATTTCTTCGAGACAGGGTTTCTCTGTATATCCCAGGCTGTCTTGGAACTCACTCTGTAGACAAGGCTGGCCTCAAACTTAGGGACCCGCCTGTCTCTGCCTGCTGGGATTAAAGGCGTGTGCCACCACCACACCAGGCTCTCTTTGATGTTTCTGTAGCTACACCCAGATTCTCTGTTAGCATAGCACTGCAGGCCTGGGATTGCATTATTGCTGAGCAGGGTGGCCGTGAGGGCCGCAGACAGCGTGCTTCACAGAGGAGGGCAGTTGAGGGTCCGGCTGAGATTGATGACAGAGCAGCTGGGCTGAGCAAGTTGCATCAGAGCTGGCTTCTCTAAGCCGTGGCCACTTCTTTGCTGTCTGTTAGTGTCTCTTACCTGGAAGGAGAAGATTCTTTCATGTTGAGAAAAGGAGCATATATAGTTGGTACAAAGGTGCTCAGAGTTCTGAGGACAAAACCAGAGATGTGGGAGATAGAGTTTCCCATGAGGCTTTGTGACACAAAGGATGGCCTGTCCATGGAGGACCCACTTTCGGGAGGAATTGACACTTGCCTTCTGGTATTTCATGAAATTCGAACACTCCTTTTGGATCCACAGCACACCCTTTGTTCTGTTCTGTTCTGCTCACCCTGCCTCCCCAACCCCAGTCCCAGAGAGGATTTGCTCCTCAGAGTAGTGTGAGCATCCAGAGCCCTCGTTGTTCATGGCTCCCGACTGCCTTTAGAGAGCCAGGTTATAAGATAAAGTGGGGCTCTGGCATAGTTCATGGATTGCACTTCTTTCAGATCTCAATGTGTTAACTGGTCCTTTAAGATGTACTTTTAAGTGGTCTCCATACTGGCGTCACTTGTTTTCATTAATAACAGACTGAAAAGTAAATTTATCTCTCCATGTAGTAATTAAATTCAACATTGTTTCCCCCCTCATCTTCTAGGAGAAATTTTTCTGTTTTGCAAAGGAGCAGATTCTTCAATATTTCCCCGAGTGATAGAAGGCAAAGTGGACCAGGTCCGGTCCAGAGTCGAGCGCAATGCAGTGGTAAGATGCTGGCCCTTTCTGTCCCCGCTCCCTCCTGCAGACTCTTGGTTCAGCCACAGTGCTTTCTGATATTAGAGGCCACTTCGCTTTCCTGTCTGCTGCCAGCCGATAACGAGAGGTCATTTTTCACTTACTCGGTAAACTGTTCTCTTGCAGAGGCAGCTCACATCCTTTGAGCTGTTCCTCCCAGGACTGAGGAGTCAGAGAGACCCCATGCCTGGAATTAGACAGCTTTCTGCTGCAGTCTGTAAAGGCTGTCTAGATAGACATTGCAGATACAGCCCCGTCACATTCCTTCAGACAAAGTCCCCATCTGGTGCTGCCGAAGGCACGTGCTGCCTCATTGAACTTCTGAACTTCTGAAGCCCTGGTGTTAACTTTCAAGTGGGCACACTGGGGATTCTGGCCCCTTCTGCCAAGGGTCACCTCCACGAGAGTCACTGGAGACACCCTTTGTGTTAGGGAGCACACTGACATAGTCCAGACTTCATTGCTCTAGAGGGTTCTCTCCCACCTGAGAATCATTTTCCTTACAGGAAGTAGTTAAATGTTAATTATGATTACAGTAAAGGCTTTATTGAGCTACAGTCAATAAACATTAACGTGTTCCTATTCAAGATAAAAGTAGGTAAGTTTTGATGAACACTTCTAAAAGCATTGCCCCACAGTGTCCTCAGAACCTTTGTATTCCCTCCCTGGCAGCCCTCTCATCAGCCACCACTGTTTGCCAGCACTGTGGATGAGTCCTTACCTTGTGGAGTGTTCTTACAGTAGACTCCATCTGTTGTCTTACCGGGCTTCTCTGAGAACACGGAACTGCTCTGAGATTGATCCACGCGTGTCTGTTACAGCGTGGTGTCCTTTTCTCGCTGAGCAACCCATCTGTGCTGATGCCCAGCCCAGTCATTCGTTCACCCGTTGATGGACGTTTGAGACTGGACACCAATGTGGACTGGGGTCCTTGTTTAGACACCCCTTTTCTTGGGAACTCCATGCGGTGTCTGTGTTTGCTATCTGCATTCACCTTTTTTCTTTGCTGCTTTCCATGGATGGTTTCTGGTTGTGGTGAATCTGTGCAGTAATTCTCATACTTTTTCTGTTTGGGAGTCTAAAGTGTGGTCTGCAGGCTTTTACCAAGGTTGGAAATTTTTTGGTAATGCATTTATTTATTTATTTATTTATTTATTTATTTATTTATTTATTTATTTATTTTTGGTTTTTCGAGACAGGGTTTCTCTGTGTAGCTTTGCGCCTTTCCTGGGACTCACTTGGTAGCCCAGGCTGGCCTGAACTCACAGAGATCCGCCCGGCTCTGCCTCCCAAGTGCTGGGATTAAAGGTGTGCGCCACCACCGCCCGGCCGGTAATGCATTTTTAATGACGTGTGTCCCGCTCCACCAGCCTCGTCACTTGGTCTGCCATGGCTGGCTAGTTGTGGTGTGTGGACTCCATCCTGCAGGCAGGTCACAACTGCAAACTTTGCCCTATGGGCTGCTGGATCTTTCTCGTTCCTGCAGTTCCAGAATTTTGTTCAGAGAAGTGGTCAAGCTCCTCAGAAACAGCGTGTTCCTTCAAGCTGTGGCTTCAGGTTGTTTGGTGGGTTTGGAATTGCTCTGCCTGGTGCCTTTGGGGATGCTGAGAATGTTCTGTCCTCTGTAGCTTCCTGATGGCTTGTGCCTGGCCTCTGGGCCTGCCCATCCATCGTTCTCTTCCAGGTGCTTCAAGGCCATTGGTTGTTACAGTGTCTTAGTTAGGATGTCTGTTGTGTGTGGTAGTTTGAATGTAATTGGCCCCCATAATATCATAGGGAGTGGCACTATTAGGAGGTGTAGCTTTGACGAAATAGATATGGTCTTGTTGGAGGAAGTGTGTCACTGTAGGGGTGGGCTTCGAGGTTTCCTATGCTCAGGATACTACCCAGTGTTTCAGACCATTTCCTGTTGCCTACAAGATGTAGGACTCTCAGCTACTACTCCAGCACCATGTCTGCCTGCATACCACCATGCTCCCTGTCGTGATGATAATGAACTGAACCTCTGAAACTGTAAGCAGGCCACACCAGTTTGCTTTATGGTCATGGTGTTTCATCTCAGCAACAGAAAGCCTAAGTAAGACATTGTGGTAAAACACTTTGACCAAAAGCAACTTGGGAAAGAAAGGGTTCATTTCTGCTTACATTGTCTTGATCATAGTCCATCATGAAGGCAGGAACTGAAGCAGGGACCATGGAAGAACGTTACTTATTGGCTTGTTCATCTGCTTTTGTATGTACCTCAGGACCACCTGCCCAGGATGGCACCACACACAGTGGGCCAAGAGTTCACAAATCAATCACTAGTTGAGAAAATGCCCCATTTTATATCAATTAAGATTCCCTCTTCCCAGATATATCTAGGTTTGTGTCAAGTTGACAAAAAACAACCAGGAGAGCATCCCTTACATATGTCCTGGAACACTTAGATCCACCCTACAGCTCAGGTAATTCACACTTCTCCTTGAGTTCCCCAACCCATGCCCCAGCCCAGCAGTTATTCAGGCAGTGAACTGAGGAGCCTGCAGGCCCCACATTCATAACATTGTTTTTAAACAATTAAAGCTTTACACAAGTAAAAACTGCTGTAGGTAATGCTGAGAGGACCATTGTTCCCTTCAAATCCAGTTACCCATTTCTTCTCCAATTGCCTGTTTTGAGTAATCTTAATTAAGATATTGCTGCCAAATACAAATTATGAAGACTTTACCCTGTATTTTTCTAAGTAATTTATACTTTTAGCCTTTAAATTTAAGACATTGACCTTATTTTATAGGTGAAGGAGACTGTCTTATTTTTTAAGTGGGTGTCATTTTTTGAGCATCATTGTCGAAGGGACGGTTTTACCCTGTTGAGTGATCTTGTTCTTCCTGTTAAACCATCTAGCCAGATGTTCCAGGATTTGTTTCTGGGCCTCAGTTCTGTCCTACTCTCCCCTCTCTGTCTCTGTCTCTCTACACACACACACACACACACACACACACACACACACACACACACCAATTCAGTACAGTTTTCTTTACTGTCGTGTGCTAGTAAGTCTTGAAACCAGAGTGTATGCATGCCCAACTTTATTCTTATCTAAAATCCTCATGCTCTTCTAAGTACCTTGACCTTCCCTATGAGTTCCTGCAGAGATCGCCACAGGAGCTCCATAGCATCACAAGACTCCAAATGGCTTTGAGTGGTGTTGTCACCTTGACAACGTGAGGCCTTCCACTCCGTGGCAGCAGCCGGTTTTTGCTGCTGGACTGTCTGTGGGTTCGTCACCGCTTCCTAGTTTGCAGTCTGTGAGTCTTTTTCCTCCAGGAGTGAACACATGTTTTCCTTCTGGTAGAATTGTGGGTAGGAATGTTTCCTTGATCTCCTTCCCGAGGTGAGTGCTGGGAGCTCGTGAGATGCGGCTGGCATGCCTGTGCTACCGTCACCGCTGTGCTGTGGCTGCACTCGGGTAGCAGCCCTGGGATTTCACGAGAAGTGTGCATTCTTCCTGATTTTCTGCGCGGAGGCGCTGGTCGTCCGCACGTGCAGTCTTTAGAAAGGCGTTCTTTCTGGTTTGGTGCCCCCCTCCCTCACCAAACTGCTCCGATGGAATTTGTGATGCTGAGCTGTGTCCAAAAGTGCAGGGGCGAGAGATTTCCTGCCCCCTGCTGGTCTTGGAGCCGTTCTCGGGGAACCTCTGTGAGCACAGCTCTGTGTTGCTCCTGGGGTGTCAGTTCAGATCATCACATGCTACATTAGCCCATTTCCTAGGCTGGATCAGCCTGGCCTCCGGGGACGAGTCCCATTCAGTCACGGCATGCAGTCCTTCTGTAGCCGTTGGATTCAGTTTGCTAGTGTGCTGTTGAGGATGACTGTGTGTATATGAGGGCAGTGCTCTACAGTGGTCTCCAGGTGTGATTGCCTTTTGTACAGCCTGGAAGGGTTTCACACAGGACTTTCGTCATGCTTAGAAGAGGCTTGGGGAAAAGCACCTCCACCTCATGTCACACAGTAGAAAGTCTCCTGTCTACCGTTGCAAGCAAAGGCCTGTTCATTTCTAAAAGCCTGGTTCACCACTCCCAGCACCCTCCGTCCTGGGCAATTCGAGATGTGTCTGTGGAGACTTCCTTGTCTATGATTTTTCGGACATGTGCCCCTTTCTCCCTTGTGAGGGGTGATGAGAACTATTGACCAGCAACTGTTGGCACAAGCTAGGTGGTCTGAAGAGCTGTGAGAAGTGTTGACAACAGGTAACAGGAAACGTCTTTAAAATCTAAAATCCGGAATTTGCAGTGCTTGTTGAGGAGTCTGTGAGTGTCACAGACTTGAGAGGAAAGAGCAGGAGACGCCCAAGGGAACCACTCCAAGAGCCGACACCAGTGACAGTTGGTGTGTCGTGGCAGGAGTGATGCATAGTGGCTGGCCACGTGGCCTTGATAGCTGCATTGCGCCCTCTCCACACATCAGAACCCTTTTTCCTTAAGGCTTAGTTTCCGGGGCTGGAGAGATGGCTCAGAGGTTAAGAGCACTGACTGTTCTTCCAGAGGTCCTGAGTTCAACTCCCAGCAACCACATGGTGGCTCTCAACCATCTGTAATGAGATCTGGTGCTTATAATAAATAGCTAAATCTTTAAAAAAAAAAAAAAAAAAAGACTTAGTTTCCTTGTACCCAGCTTGTGGGTGAATAACCTTGCAGGCTTCCTTGGTATTCATTACATCAAATCCTGACAAACTCCCAGGTTTGGAAACACCATTACCACCACATTACAAATTATGTCCAGAAAGCTTAAATTGAACTCTCTTTGTTTACATGAAGGAAAAAGTCTGTGTTCTGGTGTAGTGGCCTGGTCCAGGAATCGTTTGTTACGGTTCTATAATGTACATGATTGTCCATGTTTAGTGTAATTCAGTAATCCCTTGAGGGTGGCCGGGTTATGACTCGTTCTCTTCAGAGATGGGTATGAGGAAGGCCTGAGAGGACATTCGGCAAGGAACACTGGATTCACGTTAAACACTGACTCTCGTTCCACAGGAGGGTTTGCGAACCCTGTGTGTTGCCTACAAGCGGCTCGAGCCAGAGGAATATGAAGGTGTTTGCAAAGTGCTGCAGGCTGCCAAGGTGGCTCTTCAAGATCGGGAGAAGAAGTTAGCAGAAGCCTATGAGCAGATCGAGAAGGACCTGATTCTGCTCGGTGCTACCGCGGTCGAGGACCGGTAAGGCCGCCACATGTGTCTGTTCACTTACAGAGTCCAATGGGCTGTGAGGGTGGGTGGGCAGACAGCACACGTCCACAGTCACAGATGCGAGCGGGCCGTGAGGGTGGGTGGGCAGACAGCACACGTCCACAGTCACAGATGCGAGCGGGCCGTGAGAGTGGGTGGGCAGACAGCACTCATGTCCAGTGCCCGTGTGTTCTTCCTGAGGACATGGGTCACCTGTTTTCCTTCACGTAGTGACAACCCAGGAAACCATAGCTGGGTGGTATGTTACTGACCACAAATAGGATGCCTGAAAGTCCACTTTCCCTCCAGATAGTGAAAGTAACATCTTAAATCATATTACACATGGAAGATCCAGTTTCTTTTCACTCCTTAGAAAGGAATTAGTAGTTATTTTCTTAATTGCTGCTGGCTCTTCTGAACACAGCTTGACTTCCTAGATTTTAATATCTTCAATATATTTGTCATTGTTTAAGAAAGTTAACATAATGGAGTGGACTATTGTAAACACCAGTAGCTATAGATGATAAAATTATGAGAGAAGGCCAAGCACCATTGCAGTGGCCTGGGGGTGCTGGTGCAGAAAGGGGGGCTGCTCCAGGGAGGGCCTTCTGAGTGGATTGGCATGAAGTCCTTGCAGGCAGCTAACAGCTGGAGTTAGGCCATGGAACGTGGGCACCAGGAGCACTTAGGAATGAGGGACAGTAAAACCATTTTTTTTTTCTAGACAGTGTTTCGCTGTGTAGTCCAGGTAACAGAGACCATGCATCCTCCTGGGATTTCAGATATGATGTCCCATTGAAGTGACATTTGATCACAAGTTACTTCTTGAAAACCCAGAGCCAGCCCATTGGTACACTTACCTCTCTAGGCCTCGGGTCCCTTATTACTGTTTCAGAAAAATTAGGAGATTGGAGGTGGTTTTCCTCGTCTGTGCAGCTGTGATAATGGCATCTCCACACTTCAGGCCAGGAGCATCCTCCCAGGGACTCGTCTGACTCCGCAGGGTTGTGTAGAGGTGAAAGGTCGTATCAGCTTTCACAGAGTGCTGGCACACGCTAAGCCAGCGGTAAACGTTGGCTAGCTCTGGGGCCACTAGCACGTTACCAGCGTCTGATATGGTACTTAGAACCTGGACTCCAGTTTGATAAGTAGCAGCATTAGAACACATGGTAACAAAAGGGAAGGTATTGCCTTTTTCCTCGACTCCGTTTTCCCGTTTTGTCTCTGGTTTTAATGATTCTTCTCCTAAGTGGAATGGTACTGGATTGTGGAAGGATGTGAGGCCCAGCAGAAGGACATGACACAGAACAGCCCCCTTAAATAGCTCTCCATGTGTGTGTGGAGCAGCCTTGTAGCACATCATCGTAAGCTGTGCACTCTGGGAGCAGGTTCGGGTCCTTTACATAGACCCTCAGCCACTTGCATGTGGTGTTTTACAGAGCTGAATATTTTGATGGCTTCGTGTTTTTTGAAGTTCTTTATATGGTGGCCTTTGGACCTGACCCCCACTGTCTGGGTCCTCCTTTCCCAGGCTCCAGGAGAAAGCCGCCGACACAATTGAGGCGCTGCAGAAGGCGGGCATCAAGGTCTGGGTGCTCACTGGAGACAAGATGGAGACGGCCTCAGCCACGTGCTATGCCTGCAAGCTCTTCCGCAGGAGCACGCAGCTGCTGGAGCTGACCACCAAAAGGCTGGAGGAGCAAAGCCTGCATGACGTTCTCTTCGAACTGAGCAAGACGGTGCTGCGCTGCAGCGGGAGCCTGGCCAGAGACTCCTTCTCGGGGTAGGCAGCCCCTCCCACCTCACGGGCACCCTGCAACTCCAGGGGCCACTGGTGCCGGCATTCCTGTGGGTCACACAGGTGCTGCGGGGCAGCACAGCTGTGTGTGCCCGGGCAGGCAAGTTCAAGCTGATGGGTAGAGAACAGACACAGATGTTTTCATTGGTAAAATTTTATCTGTTGTTTCGCCTTGTGGGTCCACCGTGGATGCCTCGGAATGCTGCCGGAGAAGTCATAAGGTAGTTAGTAATAATGGAGGCTGTTTGTGTGACCCAGCAGTGTGGCTGAGGTTGGGTCTCTCCAAGAAAGTTTTACAAGGGCCTCCCGTACCAGTGTTGGGCAGTCATCTGAAGACAGTCTTCTTGGTTCTGATTCAGAGTCATGGCTTCATGGGTTTATTTGTGTGGGTGTCAGCATGTGTGTGCCACGGCGTACATTTGGAGATCAGAGGATAAGTTCTCTTCTTCCACCATATAGATTCTGGGGGTTGAACTCAGGCAGAGCAGAGCTGTTACTGAACCGTCTCAATCATATGAAATTGACAGAACAAGTCAGCCCTCTAGGCATGTGCAGATTTTAGGCTGTTTTAAGAAGAGCACAAAGTTATTTCCCCATGTCAAGCTGTAGAATTTAGGGGCTGCGGATGTTTTTGTCATTTTAGGGCCTAGCAAAGGGACCTGGAGAGATAGCTCAGTGGTTAGGACGTGAACTGCTCTTGCAGAGAGTGCACGTTTGATTCCCAGCACCAGCACGGGTGGCTCCTGGGAGGTCAGACTCCGCTGGTCTTGGCGGGTGTGTGCCCATACCTACACACAGGTTACACATGATTTAAAAAGTCTTTATAGCCCAGCAAAGGGAGATTTTGACCAGGATGAATTAGCCATACAGGTATAGGGAGGCCGGCATGAAGACCAGAAATGAAGATCTGCCCTCCCAAGCCCACCTTGTGGAGTCTCAGTATGAGACTGACACACAAACTCACAAAGAATTTTCGTTACAATGTGACTTTACAGTCTAGTCAAAGGGTGGCTCCCATTCTGTGGAGACTGTAGGGCGAAAGGGGAACTGTGCGCGTCTGATCCACGGATTGGTGCCATGCAGATGCCCCGGTGTCTGGTGTCCTGAACTATAGAGTAGTGACTGAGTGACGTTCCCTTCTGTGTGCTTTAACAGCCTTTCGGCAGATATGCATGACTATGGTTTAATCATCGATGGAGCTGCGCTGTCCTTGATAATGAAGCCCCGAGAGGATGGGAGCTCCTCAGGCAACTACAGAGAGCTCTTCCTAGAGATCTGCAGGAACTGCAGTGCAGTGCTCTGCTGCCGGATGGCACCCTTGCAGAAGGCCCAGGTCATGGACTGCCCAGTAGTGGGCCATGGGGGGTTGGCATGCGGAGAAAGCCTTTGCCTAAGTCTCACTGGCTCTGATTGCTAAAGAATTAGGGAGGCATAGAAATTTCAAACCAGAGTCTTAGATTCTCCTTGAGAGATGGGCATGGATGGACCCTCCTAGAGAGGCACTATAGCACCTTGGGAGTCTACCCCAAGGGTGTGGGGAAGGGAATTTGCCTTCACCAAGCACCTTCAGTGTGCCAGTGGCAGTCAGGACTTGACTGTCCTCCTTTGGACTCCAGGCAGTCCTCTGCACTCTCCCTGTTCTTGTGGGAGCATGCCCAAATTCTCTTTTTAAGTATATCAAATGAACATGGTGTCTTTCCAGTGTCCATAAACTGAATGAGATGCAGCTTCACAGTAGCATGCTTCAGGTGCAGAATGCCTCCTTGAACTGCTTATAAGGAAATAGGGTCCTCTCAGGTGACCCAGCCATAAAGGTTGAGGGCATACACAGAGAACCAGGTTCAGGGAGGTACTCTTTCCAATTCAATACTCCAATTAGCCTCTGTCACTAGACACAACCAGAATGTGCCTGGGCAGTTCTCAGAGAAGACAGGCAATGGCTTTTTTTTTTTTTCTACCCTCTTCTGTGCTTGACTCCATGTAAACTTTGTGTAATTGTTTCCCTGATCGCAGCCTGGGATTTCCAGTGCTATTTGGGGTTCTCAATAGATTTATACAAATGCATGTATACTTCCATTTCTTGTCTTGAAACAAGAAAGCAATCTGTAGTTTCCCTTTTTCTGTCTCATATTCTAATGCACTGTACTTAAACACAGTGCATGGGGAAGTGCATTGTCCTTAAGTACAGTGCATGGGGAAGTGCATTGTCCTTAAACACAGTGTATGGGAGGAAGTGCATTGTCCATAAGCACAGTGCATGGTGAAGTGCATTGTACTTAAGCACAGTGCATGGGGAAGTGCATTGTACTTAAGCACAGTGCATGGGGAAGGGCATTGTACTTAAGCACAGTGCATGGGGGAGTGCATTGTCCATAAGCACAGTGCATAGGGAAGTGCATTGTCCATAGGCACAGTGCATGGGGAAGTGCATTGTCCATAAGCACAGTGCATGGGGAAGTGCATTGTCCATAAGCACAGTGCATGGGGGAGTGCATTGTCCATAGGCACAGTGCATGGGGAAGTGCATTGTCCATAAGCACAGTGCATGGGGGAGTGCATTGTCCATAGGCACAGTGCATGGGGAAGTGCATTGTCCATAAGCACAGTGCATGGGTGAGTGCATTGTCCATAAGCACAGTGCATGGGAGGAAGTGCAATGTCCTTAAGCACACTGCATGGGGAAGTGCATTGTCCTTAAGCACAGTGCATGGGGAAGTACATTGTCCTTAAGCACAGTGCATGGGAGAGTGCATTGTCCATAAGCACAATGCATAGGGAAGTGTATTGTCCTTAAAAACAGTGCATAGAAGGAAGTGAATTGTACTTAAGCACAGTGCATGGGAGGAAGTGCATTGTACTTAAGCACAGTGCATAGGAGGAAGTGCATTGTACTTAAGAACTGTGCATGGGGGAGTGCATTGTCCTTAAGCACAGTGCATGGGGAAGTGCATTGTACTTAAACACAGTGCATGGGGAAGTGCATTGTCCTTAAACACAGTGTATGGGAGGAAGTGCATTGTACTTAAACACAGTGCATGGGAGGAAGTACATTGTACTTAAGCACAGTGCATGGGGGAGTGCATTGTACTTAAGCACAATGCATGGGAAAGTGCATTGTACTTAAGCACAGTGCATGGGGGAGTGCATGTCCATAAGCACAGTGCATAGGGAAGTACATTGTCCTTAAGCACAGTGCATGGGGAAGTGCATTGTACTTAAGCACAGTGCATGGGAGGAAGTGCGTTGTCCATAGGCACAGTGTATGGGGGAAGTGCATTGTCCTTAAGTACAGTGCTTGGGGGAAGTGCATTGTCTATAAGCACAGTGCATGGGAGGAAGTGCATTGTCCTTAAGCACAGTGCATGGGGGACTGCATTGTCCATAAGCACAGTGCATGGGAAGAAGTGCATTGTCCTTAAGCACAGTGCATGGGGAAGTGCATTGTCCTTAAACACAGTGTATGGGGGAGTGCATTGTACTTAAACACAGTGCATGGGGAAGTGCATTGTCCATAAGCACAGTGCATGGGGGAAGTGTATTGTCCTTAAGCACAGTGCATGGGGAAGTGCATTGTCCTTAAGCACAGTGCATGGGGGGAGTGCATTGTCCTTAAGCACAGTGCATGGGGGAAGTGTATTGTCCTTAAGCACAGTGCATGGGGAAGTGCATTGTCCTTAAGCACAGTGCATGGGGAAGTGCATTGTACTTAAGCACAGTGCATAGGGGAGTGCATTGTACTTAAGCACAGTGCATGCAGGGAGGTCTCTAAAGAAATAGACTTGGAAATTGAGAAAGAAATCATGAAGAATATTTATTGCATTAAGTTTACATATTTGATTTTTACACATGACAGGTGTGAAAATTAAAATAGCATTAGAAACAGCTTTCTTTAAAAATTGTTTGATATCAAGTAGCATGGAATTATGGTACCTTCTTGCAGACTGCAGTGCTGGCATTGGTCCCAGGCTTTTCCAATACCTGAACATTACTCTAATTTTGTCTTCCTGCCTTGGTGAAGTCATGTCATTGATCATACCTTAGTTGTTATGAGGCGATGTGATCCCGTCTAGAGGAAATAGTCTGAGAGCTGTAAATGAGCTGTAAGCAGATAATATCCTGTGACCTACACCAGCTTTGTGTCTTTGTTGCTTCTGCCCAGTCAATAACCCTAACGAAATCCAGAGAAGATAAACTCCACGTTTTTTTCCTTTCCAGATTGTTAAGTTAATCAAATTTTCAAAAGAGCACCCTATCACCCTAGCGATTGGTGATGGTGCGAATGATGTCAGTATGATCCTGGAGGCGCACGTGGGCATAGGTAAGCCCTTGCTGCTCCACTTGGGATTTGCACTGTCGGTAGACAAAGGCCGTGTTGTAGCATGCAGAGGGACCCTGGGTCTCTATCTGTGACGTGTGCCTTTGCAAGGGGACACAGGGCAGTGGTCCCTGGGCTTAGCTGGCTCTGGTTACAGGCATATTCACCCTTCGTTCTAGGCGTCATCGGGAAGGAGGGTCGCCAGGCTGCAAGGAACAGCGACTATGCAATACCCAAGTTTAAGCACTTGAAGAAGATGCTTCTTGTTCACGGGCATTTTTATTATATCAGGATATCTGAGCTTGTGCAATACTTCTTTTATAAGGTAGGAAGTTCTCCTCTCCGTTCCAGTGGCGTGAGGCCTTCGTCAGGCGACTTAATGTTTCTGGAGTCATTTATCTGCAAAAAGAAGTGACCATCAGAAAGGTGGTTGCTCCTGTGACAGGCAGGATTCCTGACACTTCTTGAACCTTCCCAGAGTTTAACATAGAGCCAGAGGGAGAGTTGTGCGGCGCTTGAGCAATCCTCCCCATGCAGACAGGTCCTTGCAGTCCTCTCCACCCAGGCAGGTCCTTGCTGCTGGCCTCTCTGCTGCCACTGCCTTCCCTCTTAAGCCAGAGTGTCACCTTCTGCTGCCTGTGATCACCAGGGCCGCACTATGGATGTGTCCATTTCAGTTACCACACAGGGAAGAGAAGCATTTCCAAAGCCCACCAGGCTGGGACAGTCCCCCATGGGAAACCTAGTGTGTTGACCATGGCTTGTGAGCTCTAGGCAAGCCCATGCATCTCTGTAGAGTGCCCTTGAACTAATGGCCGTGACTTGCCTTTCAGAACGTCTGCTTCATTTTCCCTCAGTTTTTGTACCAGTTCTTCTGCGGATTTTCACAGCAGGTCAGTCTGATGTCATGAGTTGGGAGCTCATCAGTCTTGTCTTCCTTCCCAACGGGTGGCTATAGTGAGGGAACACTCTTCGGGAACATGCAGACAGACCCCCATGGAGATCTGGGGGCCCAGGTGCATCCATCCTGCTGCCCCAGGGCCTGTCAACAAAGGTGAAGGGTCAGGCTATGGAGCTGAGGAGTTGGCAGCCCCCAGACTGGATGTCATGAGGCTGACGTGTTCCTAAACACAAGCCTCCAAGACATCGCTGATGGGCATCTGCGACATTGGAAGGGTTGCCCCCACACCAGAACCTTCATGGGTGTGGAGGTCATCTTGGATCTGAGGCATTGAAGTATGCAGGACGAGACAGATGTGGCCTGGGAGGGGGGCCTCAGTACTTGCTGCCTGGGCAGACACTTTCCTGTCCCCACACATTACACCGTGTGCTCAGATGGACAGTGGTCAATGCCTTATATCTGGAGCCACCATGACCAGGCTCATGGAAGCTAGAAAATGTGAAAGTGAACAGAATTGCAAAATTTTGGGTCCAAGCTCTGTCTGGACCTGAGGAATTTTAAAGCTGATGAATTTACGTCATGGAGTTTGAAGTCTGTCCCAGTTGTCTGTCTCTGTAGAATAGTGGCTTTTACGCGTTTTAGGGGTATCCTGTATGTCTAAGCTTCTTGACAGGTTGAAGAGTAACATACTCAGGGCCTAGGGAAGTGGCTCAGTTGGTAAAGTTCTTGTTGTAAAAGCCTGAGGACCTGAGTTCAGATCCCCAGCACCTATACCAAGCTGGGTATAGCAACATAAGCCAGTGGTAAGGAGATAGGCAGGAGGACACCAGGGGCACATTGGCTAACCACTCCAGCTGAATCAGTGAGCTCCAAGTCACCTGATGCTGACCCCTGGCGTGTACACACACACACACACACACACACACACACACACACACACAGAGTAATGTGCTAAATCCTAACGTCGGTCTGTTAAAGCCACCCGAAGCCCCCCTCAGATAGCTTCTCCTTTTGCAGACTTTGTACGATACTGCGTATCTGACTCTCTACAACATCAGCTTCACTTCCCTCCCGATTCTCCTGTACAGCCTCATGGAGCAGCACGTGGGCATTGAAGTGCTCAAGAGAGACCCGTCCCTGTACAGGTGTGTCCTCTGCCCTGAACAGGTGTGAACCCCTGCCGTGCATAGGTGTGTTGTCTGCCCTGTACAGGTGTGAGCCCCTGCCCTGCACAGGTGTGTCCTCTGTCCTGTACAGGTATGACTCCCTGCCCTGCACAGGTGTGTCCTCTGCCCTGTACAGGTGTGTCTTCTGCCCTGTACAGGTGTGAGCCCCTGCCCTGTACAGGTGTGAGCCCCTGCCCTGTACAGGTGTGTCTTCTCTGTACAGGTGTGAGCCCCTGCCCTGTACAGGTGTGAGCCCCTGCCCTGCACAGGTGTGAGCCCCTGCCCTGCACAGGTGTGAGCCCCAGCAACTCTTGTGTGCAGTACAGGGTACAGAGGAAGCAGTGCAGAATCCACCAGTCAGCTCCTGGGGGCATGGTTTCAAAGCTGGGGTTCACTTGCTTCCACAGGATGGTATTTGCACAGCCAGGCGGTGTCCCAGAGTATGCTCCACGGTAATGGGGTCTACACTGGGCTTGAATGCACATGGGAATCCCTCCACATCCCATTGCTTGGTAGAGTTGAGAAAGCCAGGAGTGGAACCCTCATCTGCTCTGACCCCAGTGAATTCATTTCTTAGTATTAAGGCGATTTCAGAACTGCCCAGCATTTCTGACAGATACAATGTTTCTCTGTAGTCTTTCCATCCTAAGACAAAACAAGGAGATTTCCGTGCTCTTGGCCGGTTTCTCCCGGTAATAATCAGTTGGGTACTGCAGTGTAGCAGCCCCTGGGGACTGGCTACGTTGTCATCCTGCACCTGCCTCATTCAGGTTTCCCCGGGTCCTTTGTCTTACTCATGTTTGTACACACGTGTGTGCTTGCTTCTGGGAGGTCTTTGTACCTGTGTAGTTTCAGAAGCCACCTAACCTCAGACAACCTTCCCCATCCAGGTCCACGGGACCCCATGTCACAGGCTTTGGGGCTTTATTACAATGTTTAGCCATTTATGAGACCTTGAAGCTTGAGGAAGAGTGTGTGTGTGTGTGTGTGTGCACATTTCAGACATGCACAGAAGGAATGTTACAAACCCCAGTGCACTGAACAGGCCTGGAAACTCATGTGGGTTGGTAGCAAGCCCAGGTGCTCGGTCTGCTGATCAGTGGGTCAGATAGTGTGTGCTGCTGTGTGTGAAGTCCATTCAGAAGACAGATAGCGTGTGCTGCTGTGTGTGGAGTCCATTCAGAAGACAGATAGCGTGTGCTGCTGTGTGTGGAGTCCATTCAGAAGACAGGAGCACCAGGCTTTCTTTAACAACGTGACAGCTGAGTACGGGAGAGAAAACACTCGAAAGCTAGTGGAGAACCCTGGTGTGTAGCCCAGTGTGAAGTCTGAAGGACGTGTGTGCCTGGCCATATTTATCAGTCACAGTGGATGCTCTTTAGGGACATGTGGACAGAGAGGACGCTGCAGAGTGGTCACAGTTTTCCCACTCTTCTCCTCTCCTAACAGAGACATCGCCAAGAACGCGCTGCTCCGCTGGCGGGTGTTCATTTACTGGACATTTCTCGGCGTCTTTGACGCTTTGGTATTTTTCTTCGGTGCTTATTTCATGTTTGAAAACACAACCGTGACCAGCAACGGACAGGTCAGTACTGAACGTCTTGTGGCCTCACTGCGTAGTAATAAGCCCCACCCTGGCAGTGATTGTGTAGTGCAGTTGTGTGAGAACAGCTCGGCCTGTGGTTAGGTGGATCTGTGGAGCAGCTTAGAGGAAGGGCCGTGTCACCTTGGCCAGCTCTAGGGGAAGGTCGGTCCTGAGGTTTTCCTGGCAGGTTCACACCGTGCATCTCACCCTGAGCTAATCCCAGTGGCTCCGTGGTCTCATCCAGCCGCTGTACTTTCGTGTGGGAGTTAAGTTGTGAGTCCCGCTCCACGGTGTGTGAGCGTGGCTCCACGGTGTGTGAGCGTGGCTCCACGGTGTGTGAGCGTGGCCCCTACAGTGAGCAGCTCTGTAGTTCTCTGGGAACAGCAGCTTGTTGTTTACCTACTTTCTGGGGTTTGTTTTATTTGTATCTCGCTTTTTTCTTTTTGCCACTCGCTTCCCTTCCCACCTCAGATAATGACCACCAACACAAGCATGGTAAGACACCCTGGCTTTGTCCTCTCTGTGTTTCTGGAGTGCATTACAAATAAAATATTTCTTGAAAATATTTTCCCATGTGACTTCTTCTGTGTGCTTTGTTGGTAGAAGAGCTGTAGCCATTCCTGCCCTCTGCTGCACCAGAGCCCCCCGACCCTGCAAGGTGTCTTCTCCCTGGGTCTCTGTCCAGGCTTTGGTGGAAGGGGCTTATTAAACTGACCCCGTAGGTCTGCATGTCACTGTAAATGAAGGACAGGAGCCTGGTGGGGACCTTGCTTTGGTGGCATCCCTGTGCCACCTGGAGAGAAAAGAGGCGTTGAGTAGACGCAGCGGTGGAGCTTACGTTAAGCCCAGTTGAGATGGCAGGTTTTGAGATGGCTGTTCAAACAGACACTGCAATTGACGTCAGAGAAAACTCCTCCCTAGGCATCCCTTCAGGGAGCTTGAAGACGGAGATGCTTTTCATTTCTCGTTCACCCAGCTCTCCCCCCACCCCCGTGTCGTCTTCCCTGTGTTGAAACGCCGGTGTCTGGCCTGTGTGGGCCGTGTGTTTGTTTCTGTTGCCGCCAACTGAAGGTTTTCTCGGATTGTGACCCAGTTCAGCTTTACTGGATTTGACCCCGAAGATTTGCTAAAATTTATTTCACTGTTATAAGGATTTTAAGCGTTTCTGTAGTTTACTGTTGTCTTTTATTTAAATCAAACAATGCCTGCAAGCCACCAGCCCATAAACATGGTGCCAGAGTGGTCGTCTGAATCTTAGTCGACTAGGACACTAGTTCCCATGAGGCAGCCTTCCAGAAGCATCCCGCCGTCTCATACGTATCTTAAACACTCAGGTCCCAGCCCTCGGCTTCCTCCTTCACTCTCAAACCACATCTTGCCACTCAAGCACCGTTCATCTGGTGGTCCCGGCATCGGGGTTTGAGAAAGGAACATACACAGGCTGGGGAAGTGGCGTGAGGCCAGGTGATTGTGAGAGGCATAGACAGAAGTCAGGTCCTGATCGGTGCCAGCATTGTGCCATCCACCGCAGCCCAGCTGTCTCAGAGTTTCAGAGTAGATGGAGTGCTGGGGAAGGACTCAGTGGCTGGCTGGCTGCTTTAGGAAGAGGGCAGCAGGGAGCTCACTTCCCAGAGACTGCAGTGTCTCCAGCTCTCTGCTGCCGTCATGGGAGATCAGGACTCCTGGGTGCCCTTGCCTGCACTGCTCAGACAATCCTTTTGGTCTCATTAGGCCTTTTGTGGGCTACTGAAAAGATGCAATGTCCTCACCTGTCACCCACAGTTCTGCCATTAGCCATTGTTAAGATGTCATTAGAACCAGAAGTGAGACTGGAAAGCAAGTATCACAGGCGGAGATGGACTCGCCTGAGCCTCCTGCAGGCCTCTGCCACTGAGAAGGGCTTTGGTGGCTGCCTTCGCTGCTCATACAGGCTGTAGTAGAGGTTCAACATGTGTGCTGCATGTCTTGACACAAAAGAGTTCCCAAAGGAGGCTGGCAGGGTGGACCCAGGCGACACTAATTCACAGGTGTATATTCAGTCGGGCATGGTGGGGGAGCGTGCTTTGGTCAGGCTGAGGAGATAAGAGACCAGACATCCCCTGACACACACTTCAGGGTAGACACCAGCACCTATGTGTGAGGTGGGAATGGTCACCCCACAGACAAGGGAGGCCAAAGACTGGTTTCCAGTCATGCACACCACCCTCGCCCCCCAACCTGGCCCCAGGCCTCTAGCTAAGCTGGTGTTTGGGTGTGTGAGTAGATCAGATATTCAGGACTCACGTGCAGGGGTGACTAGACAATCCCAAGTCTGGGTTTACAGTCTAGTGATTATAATGCTTGATGCTCCTCGAGGATCCAGGATGCATCTTCTAGATTCTTCGATTCAGAAGTTCATTCTGTTGATGGCTGTTCCAGACCTTTCTAGAAAGGTCTTCAGTGTTCCATGGGAACATTCTTAGGTCATATGTAGTGTGAGAACAACAGGATTTGAGTAATTTCTTTCTTTTTTTTTTTTAAAGATTTATTTATTTATTATGTATACAGTATTCTGTCTGCATGTTTTGCCTGCAGGCTAGAAGAGGGCACCAGATCTCATTACAGCTGGTTGTGAGCCACCATGTGGTTGCTGGGAATTGAACTCAGGACCTTTGGAAGAACAGCCAGTGCTCTTAACCGCTGAGCCATCTCTCCAGCCCCCGAGTAATTTTTTAAAAATTGCTTATGGATTTTTTTTTTGTACTAACATCCAAAGCCATAAATATTTCATTGTTTGATGCTAGGGAGGCAGTTATCTCGCTCACCCCGGGAAGTTCCTAGCCTGGTATTCAAGTTGGAATAGTACAGTCGTTAGAACAAACCTAGAGGATGGCTGAGACAGCTGTCCATGGTGAGTGAGTCCAGCACACAGCCGAGAGGTGGGGTGTGGAGTGGGCCCAAAGGGGCGCAGAGCTGTCATGACCGTGACCTTAGGAAGCAAAAGCCATGTCTGTTACAGAATATTACTACATATAAAAATTAAATTGGCTTGGATTTAAAGGCTCTAGTAACCAGAAAACACGCTGTGAGAGTGCCCGTCCTCAGGGAAAAGAATCAAGGAGAGAGGACTGAACTGACCCTAGGCAGATAGGAGGGACTGGCCTGAGGACATTCCTGTCGGTCAGAGCACAGATGGAGGTGTATTGTTGGGTCTGTGTCAGTTAGTCAAACAGTAAGGGTGTATCATCACTAAGTGTCAGTCGTTCAGACCATCCATTCCGGGAGTTGTGGAATAGGAGCCATCAGTGGAGGTGCGTTATTAAGGTGTAAGTCAGTCATACCATCGGTGTTGGTTTACTGTGGAGCTGTTCATCAGTTAGACGTCAGTAGAGGCATGCTTTCAGATCCTGATGAAGTCAGAAGCAGGAGCCTCACTGGGGCATATGACCATCCGGCCAAGGGGCTGGTGTCCTGTGTGTGTCCCCCCCCCCCCCAGCCGTAGATCCTTAGAGATTTAGAAGACACCAAGAGACTTTTGGTAGGTGACCAGAAGGCTTCCTCTGGAAACAGGTGACATGAAGATTATTTAGAAACGGCTCTGTGGCCATCTAGCCATCCCATTGAGCTGGCACTCACTGACCAGAGCCGTGGGCACAGGGAGGTAGATGAGCACATTTCTTAGGCTCCTCTCCAGTTTCTCACTTGAACTTATTACGTTTCATCTGCCTATGAAAGTGACGCTGGTGGTTGTGTGTCCATAGGACTCAGGGCCTGGTGTCCCACCATGGCACCGCAGGTCTGCCATAGCCCACCAAACCTGGGAGACCTGGCAGTGGGGGAGGCGTGCTCTCCTCCTGTAGCTGGTGTGGGAAGAGCACGCTGTGAGTTTACTCTGGCCTGGTGTGAGGTGCTGCTGGGATCCGCGTGTCCCATCGTTTACACCCATGCCCACGTCCTGCTGCCATCTGCGTTTTTTAACTCATTCTGTGCCAGCTGATGGTACAAAAGAGCTGGGTGGGGGCAGTGGGGCTCCCTCCTGCCAAGCAGAGCTCTGCAGGGCGAAGTCCCCTCCCGCACTGAGGGTCACTGTGTGGCTGCCTCCTGTAGCTTTCCATTAGACAAACCAACAACTGCTCACTCTCCACCATCCTGTTAGGTAACTACCTTCGTTGGGGGCTGCCGGTCTACTGCCCCTGAGTTGTAAAAACATTCCTGCCCCAGGGTAAAGCACGTGGCAGAGTGCTCCTGACGCTTCCATAAGTCACAAATCTGGGCATTGGTGTTGAAAGCCAACGCCGTGGGGACCTGTCCCCAGTACCTGGCGGCATCTCTGGTTTCTCCCTGCTGGCAGCAGCAGCACCCACTCTGGTGTGACCAAGTGGCCCCTGGCTAGAAGCCCCCCTCCCCCACCCCATGCAGGCCTGAGGGCTTCTATTGGTGCTGTTTCTAAGCCCAAGGAGGAAGAATGAAGAATTCTCTGGTAGAATGAAGAACAAGGCACAGTAGCATCCCTAAGCAGTCAGTGTTTCCACAAAATCCTGATGCTTCTGTTCCAGAACTCTCCGGGGTCCTCCTCCACTGGCTCCCAGAACTCCTGCGGGCCATGGGTTTTCACAGAAGCCCAGCTTCAGAGTGTGCCTTTTTCTTTTATTGGAAACTAAGCAGAAGCAGAAGTACAGGCTTCCTAGCCTTTTGATTCTTTGAAGTAAAACTTGAAGAAGGTTCTGGGAACATTGAGAGGCACCGTTCACAGAGCCCAACAGTGTCCACCTCGTGTGCTGTGTAGGGAACCGTTCTTGCAGAAGGCTTGTGCAGACTGGCTTGCCTGAGAGAAAGAACTTGTAGCCACTGACCTCACGTGTGTCTGTCTACAGTTGAGAAACGTGTTGGTTCTTAGAGTGTGCCTCGTGTCTGTGCCTCCCACCATCCTGTTCCAGCTAGGAGGGCAGTCCCCTGGTCCTCCCTCGTCATTGGTTAGCTGTTAGCAGCCATGGCTGTGGCCAGGGGTCTGGCTGTTGGAGGAGTAGCCTTTGTCCTGTGTGTGCCGCCTGCCCACCTCCTCCTTGTCCTGAGGTCTCCACGGAGAAGCCCTCCCTGATACTGTCACCTCTGTGTTCTGGTGTCTCCTCTGGCTGTCTCCTGCAGTGTTCTAGCAGCTGTACCCCTCAGCCGTGGGCATCTCCGTCACCACAGCCGGTTCCCTGAGTTTGTTCTTGAGACAGGCAGTAAGGCGGACAGCCCTCCTAGAGAAAGCACCACGCATCTTGACTCCAGCGTGAGGTCTCTCCCTGCTGAATCTGAGACCTTAGGACTCTCCACAGTCAGGTGCTAGTGCCCAGCAGGGCCATTACCAGGGGCCAGCAGGACACTAACACGAGTCATTCCTGAGCCAGGCTTGGCCTCTGTGCTGGTCTAGGGCCACCTGAACGCTTGCCTTTTCTAGCTCAGTAAACTGTAGGCCCCATGTCCTTGGGCTGAGAGGTGCAGAGGCCGGGGTTCTGCTCTCTAGCATCCGTGTTCGGGGTGAGGGAGGAGAGGTGAGCGGCAACAGACACTCACTGGGACTCTTGTCTCCACAGATGTTTGGGAACTGGACCTTTGGGACACTGGTGTTCACCGTGATGGTGTTCACTGTCACACTGAAGGTGAGTCAGTGATGTGGTCACGCTCCAGCCACGGCCGGTCTCACCCTGTGCTCCTGGAATCCCAGATCCATACTGATGCTGACACCTCATGCTGGGTGTCGTGAGTCATCTTTCTCCATATCCAGGTCCCAGCAACTGTACACTGTCTGGTACATGAACTTCCAGGATTGCTCAAAAGGAAATGAAGAGCTGAGTGTTTACAAAAGGATGGAAGTTGAAATTCTCAATATAATTTAAACAGCTCTGTTTAAATAAATTCATCTATTTTGGAAATTTTTTTCAAAGATCTATGGCTGTTTAGTCTGCGTGTGTGTCGGTACCACGTGGGTGCCTAGTGCCCTTGGGTCCCCTGGGACTAAAGTTACAGATGGTTGTGAACTGACATGTGGGTGCTGGGAATTGAACTCAGGACCTCTGGAAGAGCAGCCAGTGCTCTTAACCACTGAGCCATCTCTCCAGCCCCCAAAATTCAACTTTTAAAGTCAAGTCAGAGTCTATGAAGAACTTCATTGTGAAAGTCCCTGAACCCATCACATTGGGTCTTTAAAAGTATGTAAACTCAGCCGGGCGATGGTGGCGCACGCCTTTAATCCCAGCACTCGGGAGGCAGAGGCAGGCGGATCTCTGTGAGTTCGAGGCCAGCCTGGTCTACAGAGTGAGTTCCAGGACAGGCACCAAAACTACACAGAGAAACCCTGTCTCGAAAAAACCAAAAAAAAAAAAACAGTTTGTAAACTCCTCAAATTGTCTTCTCAGGGAGCAGTATGTCAGCATGGAGGATGCTTCATGCACGTGCACAGGTCCCAGGTGACTTGGGACAGCCTGGCCATCCCGGTGTTTCCTCCTGTGGAAGCATGGGTTGGTTGCTGTGGTTTTTCTTGTAAGCCTTTGTGGGCACTCTGCCACCGTGTTTCGGTTTGGCCTCGTCTTTCATGGTTTCTTGCCCTCCTTTCCGCATGCCCAGACGGTGCCGCTCTTGACCGCTCCTTCTCTTGCAGCTTGCGCTGGACACGCATTACTGGACCTGGATAAACCACTTTGTCATCTGGGGGTCGCTGCTCTTCTACGTCGTCTTCTCCCTGATCTGGGGAGGGATTATCTGGTAAGAGTCCTTAGACCCCATGTGGCTGCAGCCGCCCCACCCCTGTCATGGAGGGCCCGAGATGCACGGTCTGCACAGCCTCCAGCCTCCTGCACTGCCATGCAAGTTCCCACGGAACCTCCGTGTCCCTGGTGTCACGGTGCATTCTGGGACCTCTGGCAGATAAGTGGTTCGTAGTGACGATCCTGGAGTCCGGGAGACACAGACCACGGCAACAGCATGGTCTGCTCAGCACCTAGTGACAGTCACATGCTGTGTCATGACAAGATTGTGAGGGGTGCACACCAGCTCCTCTCAGCCTCATCGCTGATGCTGCCACATGGACCCATGCTCATCACCTCAAAATGCCGTTCATAGGAGCTTGGGGACACGGGTACAGTGTGGGGCAGGGTAGTGTGGCCCATGTTGCTGTGATAGTCCCAAAGGACCTCAGCAGCCCACCCTCACATGAAACCCTGACTGAAGGACAGCTGAGTTAGCTCCATGGCCAGAGGTCCTGGAGAGGGCCAGCCCTGTGATCTAAGAGCCCTGGCTAGAGAGTAGTGGGAGGGGCAACCACACAGTATGGCCTGTTTCCATCAGTCTTCTCTGGGTCAGTTGACCTTGCCCTGACCCTGGCCAGAGCAAAGATTCCTCAGTCTGCCTCACAGTTCTGGGGAGGAACAACCTTAGACAAGACCATCCTAGCCTCCTCCCTCCCTGACACTCACCCAGGAGACCTTTATGAGGGCTCCCAGAGCCCTGCAGAGGCAGGAACAGACCCTTGTCCTAAAACAGAAAGCCAGAACTGAGATCCTAGCAGCACTAAGTCTCCTGGGGTGGGGAGGCTGCAGTGGGGGGGCTGTGCGTCTCATGACTGCTGCACCCCCTCTTCTGAGTTGTGGGTGTAAGCAGTGACCTTCCCAGAAGCTCTGGCACCCTGTCTCGGAGTGTCCTCACCCCTCCCCACACTTCATTCTGATTATCGCCTTGTGTCTACATGCAGTTTGTGTGTCCTTGGAGGTGGGGCTTTACTCTATCCCTGGGCTGTTCATGGTTCCAGGAGGTAGAAGGTAATTCCCAGGTTTTGGGTGGAAACAGGGAGCGTGGAGCCAAGGAAGCCATCGTCAGCACACCGGGAACTATTCCTGTTCCTCTCTGTCTCCTTGCGAGGGAAGCATGAGTTCAGAGCATTTGGTGGCCACTGGGCCTGCTGGTCAATGCTCTCACACCCCCATGTGAATGCTGCTGTTAGTGTGAAGAACACCCAGACACTGGCCCTCCGGGACCCCCACTCCCCTTTGGGATGACTGTCTACAGTTCCTTCCTCCCTTTCTCCCTTAGAGACTCCCGGAGGCAGATCCACAGCACACAGGTGGCATCGTCAGGGACTGAGGGCACAGAGAAGAGTGCCTTTGGGGAGGGCTTGGGAAGCAGCATGAGGCTGTGGCATCCCTCCTGGCCAGGCTGCATCTCACCAGTGTCCTCTGTCCCCCCCCAGGCCATTCCTCAGCTATCAGCGGATGTACTATGTATTCATACACATGCTGTCCAGCGGGCCTGCCTGGTTGGGCATCACACTGCTCGTCACCGTCAGCCTCCTCCCTGACGTCCTCAAGAAGGTCTTGTGCAGGCAGCTGTGGCCCACGGCGACGGAGAGGACTCAGGTATGGCGGCTGGCCACTTTCCTCTCCCTGTCTTAGGATTGGGAAGTTACTAAGAGGTAGTGCAAAAGGTCTGGGCATCCACGCTTTGTTGACTCCTGTGGGAGGCCCTACCCGAGGATTGGGGAGTGGGTGCAGGGGGTAGAAAGGAGGTAGGGGGAAGGAACCTTACTTACTAATTCTGCAACGACATGTGTTTTAAGTGTCATATTAGGTAAAATTCAAAATGAACAATGTTCAACTTAATCCTTAGACCTAAACAATCAACTGAAAAGAAAAATGAGAACAAAGATTAATAGAAAAGAATTATTTTCTGTAAATCCACAAAAAGTGTAATTAGCTGTTACTTTGATCATTGACTAATGGGCTGGGCTATTGCCCAGTGATCTGGCAGCTACTTAGCATGTTACAGAGCCTAACTAACTCTGGAGGGGGAAAAAATGATTGTTATGTCACTTTTAAGGGTGTTGGATTTGATTTTGGCTCAAAGTCACCTTTACAAGAGGATGTGGTGGAGGATGGGGGACTCTGTTTTCCATCTCCCAAACTGGCCAGCAAGTTGAATCCTCAATAGGACTCTGCCACCGGGGTTGCCTGGGTTCACTAAGACACAGATTTTCAACCTCACCCCTGAAAACCTTAACCTCCGGGTGAGGCAGGACTGTGGGGTCTGCATTTTCAGCAACTTCCCCATAACACAGCCTGACAACACATGGCCTGTGTGCACAGAGGGCCAGGTCTACACAGCTCCTGCAGAGAGACCCAGTAAGGAGCCAGGGTGGGGGCATATGTCCCTCACTAACCTGGCTCTCTACCTGTGGAACCCGAGTCTAGAGTGCAGCCAGCTGGCCATGTTTGGGTTGGGAAGCAGATACCCGATCCCACCTTCAGGTTGGTTTTCCTTCTGGGGACTTTGTGCCAGCCATTCTCCCTGCTATATGCCTCCTGTCATAGTTACAGTTAGAACTCTAACCTGCTCCTCTGTCATGAGAGTGGGCAGGTTCACTCAGTGCTGCTAGGAGCAGTCCCCAGCTAGTGCCTCTCAACAAAATGGTACCAGGCAGTGCTAACTCCAGGACTGTGGGACCCCTCAGCTCACAGCAGGAGAGACAGCAGGAAAGGCTATCCACCTGCCACTGAGAACCCCCCCCCACTTCCTCCTAACACTCCCGCCCCCACGTACACACACAGAACAGTTGGTCCTGGAGCTGTCAGTGCTCAGCTGCTCTGGTTCCATGGGAATGGCGTCCATTGTTCCTAGCCCCAGTCCAGCCCTAGGGAACTGGAAAGCTGTCCAGTAGCTGTCTTCCACACAGGCCTGAAGCCTTTGCTCTTCACAAGTACAGCCCCAAGGCTGACAGGTATTTTCCTGACACCAACATGTCCAGGTTCACAGTAGACACTCAGCTTCCTGACACACAGACACAGTGGACACAGGATCATAAAGATTCCCTGTACCGAGTGATAGAGTGGACACTGGGTTCACAGTACCAGGGACACTGGATGTGTGTATTCTTTAGGATGCCTTATGCACAGAGATGCTGTGTTCATGACAACACCCATGTATAAGGACAGAATGAACATTTGTGCACTGCTCATGACACTCCCTGTGCCTGGGGATGTGGGAACACACATCCAAGGTAATGTCTTCACACTTGGGACACAGGGACACACGCTCATGACAGCACTGTGCAGAGTTCTGACTCCAAGAGAGGCACAGCTCAGGATGTCTCCTGGGTCCCCTGGCTGTAGCATAGCTGCGGTCACGAAAGCACGTTCTACCTGGTGCCCCCATGTTGACGGACTGATCAGGTGTTTGGACACATTTGAGCAAAGAGTTCAGCTCTGCAAGGTAGCAAGGACACCTCCCTAGAGGACTTTTGAGATTTGCTGTGGTAGTAGTTGTGACCTCTACTGTGGGATGCTACTTTGCAAGAATCTTCTGGAATGGCTTTAGAAGGTGGGTGGGAAAGGCTGAGGAGATTTCCCATCATCCCCTCCATCGGTGGGGAAGTCCCCACTGCTGTTGTGAGTTCTGAAGCCTATAAGAAGCATCTTTATTTACTACAGTCCCCAGCTGCCGCACAGGAGGCATAGAGCTAGGAGGAGGCAGGTGTGGGCCTGGGTAGGGAGGAGTGGGCCAGTGGGTCCTGGCCTGGCAGCGCCCAGCAGCTAGGGCAGCGGTGTTACTGTGTGCTAGGATGTTTGCCTATAACCAACTTACCTCTTGTCTCTCTCTCCTGCCTCCCTCACCCTCCACTGCTTTGCCTAAATAACCACTACTTGTTCAAACACTCCGCGCGCGGGCGGGCTCCGGACTGCGGCCTGCAGGCCAAGAACAAGTGCCTTTCTGTTGAGCAACCTACCGTCTTTATGCTTTCCCAGACCACCAGTGGTCTGAGTTTCTGACCAACAGGTGACCATCTCTGCCTTCTTGCATGTTGGGGTGATGGCCACAGGACCAGGTGGGAAGATCTTAGTGTTGAGGCCACCCTGAGTGCACTCCCTGGTCTTGCCATTCATCACAATTACCCCGTCAGGTAACACGGTGACAGCGCACCCCCTGGGAGAGGTACACTAACGATGGGCTTTGTCCTCCAACAGAGGCTCGCGGGCAGCTCTCTGTGTCCATCAGGGGGTCCAGAGCCTTCGCCATTGCTACACACTGGTGGCTCAGCCCCTAAGCACCTGACAGGCAGGCAGGTCACACACCCAGTCAGTCCAGCTTGAGCAAGGTGACCTCAGCTTGGCCCTGTTCTCCACTACCGTGGTGGTAGAGATGGAGACTTCTTCCAACATACCCCTGCTCTGGGGACCCAGTCTTTAGTGTGGAAACTGAGGAAGGACAGGAGAGAATGTTCTGCTCAAGCCCTCTGAGTACATTGTGAGGTGGAGTCACACTATCACTGGCCTTTACTTACTAGATTCCTATTCTACTTTTCAAAATAAAAACCTGGTTTTAGAATCCCCATCCCCGCCCCCCGTGATGTGCTGCTTTTAATGGCCACTGTGGCAGCACAGCACTTCTCCCCAGGGCCTTTTCCCTAGGTGGCGGCTGTAGCCAGAACCTGCTCCTCACAGCTGGGCAGTCAGGGGAGATAGAAGCATCACAGTGCTGTGGCGTTTTGGCTGAATTTTCCTGTACCCAAATGTGACAGCTGCATGTATTCCATCAGTGGAGTTTGGAGGGTTACCTGCATCGGGTTCCTGCCTCACCAGGGCTTATGCCTGAGAAACACCCAAAGCAGAAAAGAGCATTCCCTTCTATCTGTCTTAAACACCATATTTAACAAGTTAATAGTGTCCTAAGATCCATTAGAATAGATTTTTCGGAAGACTAAAATGTCACAAGGTCTTTGTAAAACATTACATATGCCAACTCAGGCTGCAAACGCTGTTCCCTCTTGACAAAACTTCCTCAGCATTGAGTTTCTTTGACCTGTGCAGAAGTAGACTTCAGCCACTGGGGAGGTAGCACTGTGGTCCTGTCTCCTATGGCCCGAGACTTGGCCCCAGGCATCATAGCAAACCATACATGCACACAGACCCTGCCACTACACTTGAGACACAACGTACAGACACGCTGCTGCGGCAGAGCATCACAGGTCTGCAAAGCTTTGGAGGAATACACATCCCACAGGTCTCAGTGGGGCAGATTTGACGTCAGATGTCTGGGGTTCACTTTCAGCCTCTTCCTAGTACAGGCAAGCGTGACGGACACTGGGCATGTTATATATCAGACTTGCATATATAGCATCGTGCGTGTGTTCACACCAGTCTCTGCGTCCACACACTTGCAGCAGCCTGCCTGTCCATCCCCGTGCCTGTGTGGGCAACAGCACCATCCTCTGGTTCCTTCTCCTCCTGGATACTTGCCAGTTCACCTGCTCTTCTGCCGTCCAGCCTTGTCTTCCTTCAGCTCTGAAAGCTCCCTCCTTCCTCGGCACTGAGAAACTGGTGAATGGGGACTGGAAAGTGCTTGAAAGCTGCACCACGCCAGGCCAGGAGCCAGCAGCCTTCAGGACATGGCCTGTGAATGTCCTGTCTGCCGGGCAGGCTCTGCAGAAACCACTGCTCACCTGCCAGTGCCTCTGCAGAGGAGGTGGCACACAGGTGCCACGGCCTTATGATTCTGGATGCAGCCTCTGTGTTGGGAACAGGAACTTGCTAGGACCTTCCAGCTGGTGGCCCTCTCCCATGGTGCTGCAACTTGCCTTTTGACCTTGCCACTTCTTCTCCGGGTGCAGACTTCTTCGAATGAACCTGTTCAGAGCCGTCTGTTCCCTAGAGGAGGCTTGGTGCTCCTTTGTGGACAGGCAGCCCCTGGAGCCAGCTCTGGCCGCCTTGATGGCGTCACAACTGATATGTGTGCAGACCCTGCAAGCAGAGTTCATGGCCTGCCATGGTGGAGAGTGTGGGGATGGTATAGGTCAGTGTAGATTCGGCCTTGGGTCTGCAGCAGCCAGGGCACAGGTCCTGGCCTCCTACGCTGGCCTCCATGCAGACAGCAGCTCAGTGTCTTTCCTCGCCCTTGCAGAAGAGCACCCGACTCAAAGCATTGGCCGATGCCACTTCGAACAGCGACAGGCCCCTGCTGAAGGAGTACTTACCACAGCCAAGACGTGTCTAGCCCAACGCTAGGTAACGGTATGGCTGCCTGCTGGGCACTAGGCCAGTGTGCTGTGACTCTCAAACTGCCTGCTCTTCCTCCAAAGTTTTGCTGTGTTGTCCCCCCTCCTTTTTATAAGAGTGGTTCATTCTGGAAACAAACTAGACCATTTTTACACACACATACACATACACATACACACACACACACACACACACACACACACACACACACACACACACAGGTAAGTGGCACACCTGAGAGTGAGCTAAGCACATAGGAGGAGTGTTAAACACAAGTGTGTATACACATACAGATGACAAGTGACCAATGCGCTGTGCCCAGTGTTTCCTGACAAGCTGGCTCCTGTCCTTGTGATAGACACAGTTTCACTTAAAAGCCACTTGGGATGATCCTGTCTTGAAATCGGAAGGAAGGTCTCACCCAGCTGCACTGGACACAAACCAAGTCAGCGTCCAGCGGACACCACCAGCTGTCACACAGCTGTAGTCCTGATGCTCGCCTGGAATAGTGTGATCTGGGGATCGTCACCCGGGAGGGAGAGCTGTGCTCTGCAGCCCCTTGTCCTCTCTGCTGGATACCTGCTGCTGTGTGTGCATGCTGTGGCCCTTCCTGAGAGGCAGCAGCCGCCACTTCTGTCTGGTGACTGTAGGCCAAGGGCATGATAGCTGCATGATGTTGACCCCAGTCCCTGTCAGGCTTGGACGTACTAACCTGAGTCGGTGGGTCCTGTCTTCTCCTGGGGTAGTGGCTAGCCCCCTAGACCAAGGATGTCTGGGGACTTTGTGTGATCCCCACACATGCCGCTGGTGACAGGGCAGAAGCCCAGCGTGTCCAGCACTTTGCCCCCCGCCCTCCTGTGTTGTCCCTGGCATGTGGGATGCCCCTCTGTTGGCACTCAGACAGAGGGTGTTTGTCCCCAGAGAGGAAGGCAGACCGCCTCCAGACACAGTTCGCAGGGGATGGGCCCTCTCACCTGCCCCTTGGGGTGATACGGTGGTCCAGCGATGTTAGGGGCTAGAAGAGCTGGGGTGCAGCGGTGTTAGGGGCTAGAAGAGCTGCGGGTGTACCGGTGTTGGGGGCCCCAAAGAGGTCTATGACTGACGACGGGCCTTCTGTTCTTTTGGCAGAACATTCGACTTCGGGACAGCGTTTCAGAATTCAGCCCTCTGGCCTCTTTGCAGAGCTGGGGCGCTCAGGGCACCAGACCCTTGGCTATCCAGTGCAGCTCCCCTCCTGGGAGAGTAGTGTGCTTGAGGTGGGAGAGCGAAGAGTACGCTGTGCTCCCTCCCCACCCAGGCCTTTCCCACAACACGAGGTATGGGTGCTGTAGGTCCAGCCTGGAAACACCCACTTGATGGACAGATCGCCTTCTGTCCCAGCTCTGAGAGCTATGTTCTTGGGTGCCTGTGTGTGCCTGCACCTGCCCCACCCCTCATCCTCAAGGAGGTGGGGGTGGGATCACAGGTCACCCACTCAGGCACCGCACACCGCAATCTGGACCGTGCGTGACAGGCATCATCATCCTAGGCCCGTTGACCGTACCGACGACAGATGGGCTGTGGAGAAGGACATTATGCTTGGCTTCACCTTAAGCATTGCAGCTATGAAGCTGGCCCTGCCAGGCCTGCACGTCCACCCTCTGCTGTTGTCATCCTCTGCTGTCACTTGAGGAGAAGACTCCGTCCCTCTGTCTGCAGCCTTGTACATCTCGCACATGGGCTCAGCTCATGTTACATCCTGATGTTCCTGACCACGTGTTTCCTGTGCAAACCATCCACACTTCCCGCTAGGGAAGTGGTCATGTCAGACTAAGTGGTGTGCGTCTTCTGGACCTGTGGCCCTGCTGTGCTCACGTTCACTGTCCCCTCACAAGCCATTTCCCTAGATCCTGTCCGAGTCTGTTTGCTGAGGAGATGCTGACCCTGCACACCGGAGCTTTGGAAGCCGTCAGCGTCCCCTTCCTTCCTACCACCGGCTGCCTGTGGAAGATGGCGTGTATGTGTGTAGATAAGTCACATGTTAACCAGGTCCTCAGGAGTGTAGTGATATCCACCACATCCCAGAACGATGTTAGTTTACCTTACTGGAAACCATTTGTTTCAGGGGTGCTGGTGAAGGTGGCGGTTTGGGGCACCCAGGCAGGTATTTATCTCACCCATAGGTGAGTCCCACACCCAAAGCTGTCTGGGGTTGATGTGGACTCGTCCGTTCCAGTCTGCTGCTCAGCCTGCCTCCACTGGTGCCACACAGATCCCATCCAGGGCTTTCCTTGGAGTGGACAGGCCGTCAGAAGGCCACTGTACTGTGAATCCCTGCTGCTTCCCACACTGGCACTTCTGTGTCTTGTGGAGCATCCAACAGACCTTACACAGAGAAGACGTTTCGGTGTGGTGCAGCCTTTCAGAGAGTACCAGCCAGAGATGGGGAGAAAGCCATCCCCAGCCCCGTGGAGTCATGTGGTAGACCTGGGGCCGTAATGAGGGCCGCAGGGACCTGAGAGCCTCCAACCTGGGAAGCACATATTGTGTAACAAGATTACACAAGGTTTCTCTGTGAACAGTGTGCTTGAACTGGGGGACCAGCCGACAGAAGGAGCAGTTATTGGACCCGGCAGCTGGGGGAGGTCGGGTGACCATAAACATCACACCAAAGACCGGGGATGGCCTCAAGCTGTGACAGACGGAAGAATGTACAGCTCCTCTAAGGGCTGTCCCTGGCTCCACACATCCTCATCCCCGTCACCCTCCTGTGTCGCCATGTGTCAGCCCAGGATTGGAGCCCCAGTCCACACTAGCCCTTAAGTAATGGTGTGTGCATTTTTACAGCCCTTTTTAAGATCCCAAGACGGGTACAAACGTAATACCTGTGGGGAGGGGCAGATTCTCTGTATGTTTAGTTAACAAATTATTTGTAATGTATTTTTTTAGGGATCTTAAAATTGCCTTTGCACTGAAGTATTTTCATAGCTGTTTCTATATCTCTTACTCATTTGTTGATGTATCTTCTGATTTTTAAGTATGTTTTTAAAGCTTTCACATTTTAAGTTTAAGAAGTTTTGGCCACTTTAAATGCTGGTGAGTGTTCGGCTGAATGTTTCCGTCCCTGCTGAGTGAATTGACTCTCCTCTGTGCCTCTGTGTCTCTTGGTGTTTCTGAGACCCACCAGGTGAAGGGTGTGCTGAGGGTGTGACCACTTCCTTTTCTTGTTTCATCATGGTCCTTTGCATTTTCACGTTTTCTGTTTTGTTTTGTTTTTACTTTCATCCTTCAGCCTTAAACACAGAATATTCTTCCTGCAGGCTCTGCGTCCTGCAACCCATTCTGGGTGTGGCGATACTCTCTTGCACCCCCCAATAGCCTAAGTTTACATAGGAACACCCCAGACTTTATACGCACTCCAATGTCTTTTAAAAGTGTGCTTAGGAAATTACCAAATGAAGGTGCCTAAGAATTTGAAATAGACAAGGGCACAGGTGAGATGCAGGAACAAGAGACCAAATGTGAGTGCAGAAGCCCTCCACCTCACCTCACAGCAGCTGCTTTTTACTTTCCTTAGAGCACGTACCTTTAACTCAGAGGAAGCATTTTCTTAATTGCATTGCACATGTCAACATCTGTGACATACTGCGTTGGCCAGAATTCATGGTTCTGTCCCCTGCAAGCAGTTCATCTCACTTATGTGCCAGGAGCCCTGGCTTCATATGTGTTCTCTTTCTGTTCCACACACACAGTCATGGCCATTTACAAACTTGTGTAAACATGTACACGTATGTGCACACACACAAGCACATGTGCATTTTCCTCCCAGCCTCCATTCTGATAGCCTTGTGCAGAGGTTTTGCCCTCTGGGACCATCAGGCTCCTTTCACACACACCTGGAAAGGGGGCTTGGGCTGTGCTCACATGTGGGCTGTGTGGGTGACATTGCAGTGCTGGACCGAGCTCTCCCCTCCCAGGGAAGTGCACCTCCCTGTCAGGACCTCCCCTTGCTCCCTCAGTCCAGCCAGCAGGATCCAGGATAACAGAAGCCACACACCATCCTGAGTGTAGGTAAAGCCTGTCCCTTGCCACATACTAGCTAGGAAAACATGTCCCTACATCCCAGAGATCCATTCCTGAGTACAAGCAGACCAAAGGCCCCACCCAAGGAGCTCCTGGATGGGAAGGGGCTCTGAAGGCTGAGGTGGCAATGGGGGGATGGCGCAGGCAAGGCTGGAAGGGCGGGGTGACTTTGTCTTTCCTGAGCACGTTTCTTAGGATCAGCTGCCGAATGTCTTGATTGTGCTATCCTGGTCACCAGCTCGCTGAGCATCAGCCAGGTGTCTGGTGGTCTGCGGGAAGCTCCAGCCTGGGTCTCTGAACTCCCAAGTTCAAGGTGTATCTACACTGACTGGTACTGGACTCACCCATCCACATTTATTTCATCCTGATGTAATTTATTGGCAATGCCATAGAACAGCAGGCCCTTGTGTTCTACATTGCTTTTGGAAGTTTCCCACTTATGACTGTAAAAACAGGAAAAAATATCACTTGGCGAATGCAATCTCTCTGTTTTCAAAGCCAGAAGACAGATGACTAGGAACGAGGGTGGTTCTGATACTGTGTCTAAACAAAGCTTTAATGAAGATGTGTATGTTGGAAGTATTATGAAAGTGTGATTCTAATTTTGCAGAAAAATGTCTATCAATTTATATAGCTTTATTTTTTACCTTATCAAGAGATACAGAATTTTAATATGCATATATTGTCTGACTTAAAATCATGTGTGGCTGCATTACCACTTAAAATGTCCACCTACGGTGTATGAATAAGAGAGACTCAAAGATGTATTTAACATGAATGGTTATCTTAGCTGTCATCTTCATAAGTACTGGGATTTACTTTAAATTATCAAATATAGTAAGTACATTAAACATGTCACTCTCCAACACTAATGTTTAACTGATAGCCCAATAACCTGCTTTGAAAATTAAATTGTGAATTAAACCGGATCAAACGTCTCATGAGGTTTATTTTGTGTGCTGCTGCTGATTGTGCCTTCAATTTCTGTAGGCAGTCCTGATACAATGGGCCTTTCTGTGGGAGACTTTGGTTCACTCCCAATGACTGAAAAGATGCATCTCTGATTATGTATGTTGCACACACACTTTCTGTTAACAGAAACCGTGGTTAAAATGGTAAGCACATGTCTATGGGGGGTGGTCACATCAAATGGGTATTGTGGGAAACAGAATCTTAGCTTTACTGAAGGGGGCACAGGGTGGTGGTGTGGTGGGTACTGCACTTCTATCCCCGAGCATGTGGAGGCTCTCTGGAAAGCCTGAATGTAAAGCCACAGTGTGACAGCCCTGGTCCAAGGCCTGGGGTACATGTTGGGTATTCCCAGAACAAGAGACTTAGCACCAGAGCTCCCAGTGCCATAAGCCTTCCTCACTAGCCCTCCTGTGCAGCCCAAGGCTAATCCTGTGCCCCACCTCTGGGACACCTCCCCTTTCCTTTATCTTCTGTGAAACTTGGGGCTCAGCAACCCAGTCTCACTATCAGCCAGCTAACTAACTCCTCCATGCTATTCCCAGTTGAGTCAGACTCTGGGTGCTACATGAGGAGCCCCAAGATTGCCCCTGAGTCTCTGCTCCTCTAGGCTCTTCAGTGTCTGCCTGCTCTTGGCCATGGTACCCTCTGCAGCTGGATGTCCTGGGTGCTGATGCCTCGGACATAGAATGTCAGGATATGTTCCTTTGCTGGGCATCTGGGGCCCAGCTCACACTTGAACATTCGGAGTAGATCACCTAGGAGCCAGAATCAAATCCACTTTATTCACTTGAGCGGTTTCTAGTAAGAGTGATCTCAGGCTTTGATATGATGGGCTGATGATCAGTCCCTACTGAATCCTTGGCTCCTGGCTGCCTGAGTGGTTCACATTGCCCATGCAGTTCACAATCCTGAACCTGTGGGACTCTCCCTTTGTAGCATCTTGGCCACTTCTGTGTGTCCATGGACCACAGGGAGGACCCAGGAATGCTTTGCAGAGCTGAGTACATGCAGCCTAAATATGCGCTCAATGCTCTGCCTGGTAAAGTGAGACTGGGGTACCAATTCCCTACCTGGGAGGCAAGACAGCAAGTCCCTCTGGGTTCTGCACCTGCTGGAAGTCTTTTGTAACTAAAAAATTCTTGGTGCTATCATCAACTGTCTGTGCAGACATGGGACCTGAGCAGGCATCTCTAGCTTTGGGCCACCTGTTTCAGGGTAACTGACACACAGGCTACCTGACAGTAACATTGGGCCATGCCCTCACTGGCTAACAGGCTAGGGAGTGAGGGACATGGGATTCTCAGATGCCTGAGCCTGTGTCTAGCCTCTGCTCTGCCCAGCTCTCCTGACCACTGGTGCCTTGGCTTCCTCACCCCACATCAGAACGTTCTACATCAAGCTTGGCTCCCTCACCTAGAGTTGAGTAGTAAGTAAATAAATAAATGCAAAGTGGTGTTGTGGAATAGAATATTTATTTAATTATGTAAAGGTGTGGTGCTTTTGTTTATGCTGCATTTGTTTAACTATGTAAAGATGTGTTGCTGTTTCACCTTGCCTGCCTAAGGCACCTGATTGGTCTAATAAAAAGCTGAGTGGCCAATAGCTAGGCAGCGGAGGGATAGGCGTGGTTGGTGGGCAGAGAGAAAAGGGGAGCCAGCCAGCCAGACACAAAGAAAGCAGGAGAGTAGGTCATACAGAATGAAAGAAAGGTTAAAAAGCCCCGAGGCAAAACTTAGATGAATAGAAACAGGTTAAGCTAGTGGAACAAGCATAAAGCCGAGCATTCATAACTGATAATAAGTCTCCATGTTGTGATTTGGGGGCTGGCAATCCAGAAAGCCTACTACAGAGTGGAGGCTAGTGGATGGGAATTCCAAAGGGCCAAGGCAGAGACCAAGACCAAATGTCCCTTCTGTGTGTCCCCTGGAGCTTCCCCAACCCCTGATCCAGGCCTGGATATGGGTTGCTCTGGGAGCTCTGTAGTGTATCAAACTCTGGGACCCCTTTTGGGTTCCCATTCTCTTTTATATAGCCCTTAGCTGGAAAGTATTGCATTCTTCCCCTCAACAACTGACTTTTCCTGTGTGTGGCACAGATCACTGTCTTTGTCAGGAAGAGATCATTGGGGAGCATGTGTGGAATAGTTACATCGTGCCAGGTGCTTGTCTATTCGCTGAGTTTGATTCTAGGACTGCAGAACCAGCTCCAACTCAGATGCTGTGGATGAATCTATCCTCACAGTTTTGGAGGATGGAAATTCAAGGCCATATGTCTGGGTCCCTGCACCTGCTTGGGAAATCTATCCTGATTCCCTTCTCTCTCGTCACCTGGCATCGTCCCTGGCCTGTGCCCCTAGACCCCAGTCCTATTGCATTGGATCTAAGCCAATGATGGCTTCACACTTTAAGGGTGTACCTCATGAACTGGATGTGGTGACACACACCTTTAGGTAAGGGCAGGAGGGTCTCTGTGAATTCAAAGACAGCCTGGTCTACATAAGCAAATGCCAGACCAGACAACCCTGGCCAAACCAGAACACCATACCTTCTTTGGAGAGCTTGCTGCTTTAGGAAGGAGCAATCTTGAAGTGAGAGTCCACAAAACAAAACAGAACTAACAGAAAGGGTGTAGCTGATGGTATCTGCGAGCCCAGATCCACCGACTCACCTTCCCATCTGCATACCGTGCCTTTCCCTCCGCTGTTCCTGCTCTTTGCACAGAGCCGATCCACTGAGATGTCCTGAGGACACAAGCCACCACAGTTTCTAGGCAGTTGCAGCCTGCCCAAGGGCTGCTGGACCTGCTTTGTGTCCCATGGGGAAAGACAGGAGCCTGGTCAGTGAATGTCACAGCAAATCTAGGATTCCTTTTGCTCAGAGAGGCATCAGACTACTAGCTGCCTCTTTCTCCTGGCTATTATCTGCAGTGTTATCCAAGCGCTCTCGCTCTCTCTCTCTCTCTCTCTCTCTCTCTCACACACACACACACACACACACACACACACACACACACACACACACACTTCTGCAAAGACTCCTGAACCGACTTGATCTCCTGGGCTTGCTGCCTCCCCCCTACCCCCCAACTCCTGGCTATTATCTGCAGTGTTATCCAAGCGCTCTCGCTCTCTCTCTCTCTCTCTCTCTCTCACACACACACACACACACACACACACACACACACACTTCTGCAAAGACTCCTGAACCGACTTGATCTCCTGGGCTTGCTGCCTCCCCCCTACCCCCCAACTCCTTTGTGATGCTAATTTCCTGTGTCTTTTGCTGGGGGCTCCTGGGGCTCTTGGAGCTGCCAGGCACAAAAGGCTTGCCCAGCTAACAAGCCTGACACCAGCAGGGTGCTGCTGGGATGTGTGATGGCATGGATGGGCTTTGTCATTGGCTGCACGAAAAGTCCCTTGCATTAACTCCCTGGAGACTCAGCCTGAGGTTTTCTGAACGGCAGAAAGCTCACTCCGGGCTTCCCAAAGAAAGATGGTGCTCTGGGTTGGCCTCGTTAGCAACAGGCCAGCTTAGGGCTGGCTGTGGCTGTTCATGTTCTACTCAGTTGAGAGACAGTTTTCTGGTTGTCAAGGGATGTCTTTAGTCCTAGGATAGGCGCCTCCCACCTTATGCAAAACCACCTGTGTGGGGTCATGGCGATGGCGCTGGTCACTTCTGGTTCTGCACCAGTGGTAACAGCTGTTTGTGAGTCCTGCCGAAACTCTGTGCATGGGGGCTGCTGCTTTTGCACTTTCGTGAACTTTTATTGCTCCATTAAATGACATTTAATACAGCTGTGTAGAGAGGGTCTTGGATGCCATCATGGGAAACAGGAACACCTGGCTATTTCTGTCAACTCACAATTTTTTGGAAGTTGCTTGCATGTACTTCCTGTTTTTATTTTTGTTAGCTAATATTATTTCCTTCTTGGGTCTCTGAGGGAGTTGAAGATTAGTTAGTTATAGTTGAAGATTAATTAGGATAGAAAGTGAATTAGATACAATAGGATAGATAATGGAATTATTTTCTCTGAATTTGTCAAATACAAATGAACTAGACATTGTTTAGGTATTTATTACTTGTTTATATTGTATATAGTTATTGTACTTTTGTATATAGTTTTTCTTATGTTAGTTATAAGCTTTTTTCTTTTTATTAAAATAGAAAAGGGGAAATATGGTGATATTCTATTTATATTAAAATGTTATTTGTATGTTAATAAATAAAGTTGCCCGGGGGTCAGAGCTATTAGCAAGCCATAGGAAAGCAGGGCAGTGGTGGCGTACGCTTGTAATCCCAGCACTTGGTAGGCAGAGCTGGGTAAGTCTCTGTGTGTTCAGGGATACAGCCATTATTGGATACACATGCCTTTAATCAATACCAATCATGGAAAGCCTGGAGGCCTATACAGACAGGCCGTGACGAGGCGGTCATGTGGTTGGGTTTACAACCAATGAGAAGGCAGGACAGGAACTCTATATAAGGACTTTAACACAGGAAGTAGCTCTGGTTCGGAGAGGTAGGACCACCGCAGGAGGAAGGGTAAGGTTTTAGCTCTTAGCTCTGACCTCTTGGCTTTCTTCTTTGCATTGGTTCTGTGTTTCTTATTTAATAAGAAGGTTGGTTACATCTACAAGGAACTTTGCCTTTTTTTTTAAAGGTTAAAGGTTAAAGAACCTACTGTGGAGGTTGTTCGATGGCTCTGTGGGTAAGAGTGCTTGCTATCAGGCCTGGTGACCGAGTTCAATCCCTGGAACCTATACAATGGAGAGAACAGATTCCCACAAGTTGTCCTCTGACCTCCACGTGTCCCTTGGGACTTGCATTGTGCACATGGGCACATTTGCACACACAGTTTTTGTTTCATTTTGTTTTTATTTTTTAACTGAAAAACAAAACAAAACAAAAAAAGCTTCATGCCGGTCCAGTCTGACCCTTTTGGGTATGTATGGAAGCCTTCAGGAAGA